GGATGGGGCAGAAGACAGGCTTGATAAATCTGAAGATGAGTTAATAGAAAATATTCAAAACAGTGAAGCACAGAGAGAAAAACAAGTAGAAAGAACAGGGAAAGTGAGAGTGAAGTGAAAGTAGTCCAGTCATGTCCGACTGCTACCCCATGGACTATAAGTCCATGGAATTCTCCAGGCCAGAATACTGGAGTGGGTAGCCTTTCCCTTCTCCAGATCTTTCCAACCCAGGGATTTAACCCAGGTCTCCCGCATTGCAGGTGGATTCTTTACCAACTGAGTTATCAGGGAAGCCGTAATTTATAACTGGAGTGTCAGAAAGAGAGGAGTGATAATAGAGTAGAAGTAATTTGTGAGGGTAGTCTTTCAAAACTGATGGAACACATCAATCCACAGCTTCAAAAGCTCAGGAAACACCAAGCATGACAAATAAAATGAAAACCACTCAGCATGGTTAAACTGCTAAAAACAGAGAAAATTCTAAAAGCAACCAGAAAAGAAATACACGTTACCTACAAAGAGCAAAAGGGTTTTAAGCTGACTTCACAACAAAAAAATACAGAAATGAGAGGACAAGAGAATGCTAACTTTTAAGCTGCCAAATAAAACTGCCCGTCTGGGAATTCCACATCCAAGGAAAATACCCTTCAATAATGAAGGTGTGATTAAGACCTTTCAAACAAACAAAAAAAAGTGGAATGAATTAACTGCTGCAGACCGGCACCATAAGCAATACTAAAAAGTTCTTCAGGCTGAAGGAAAATGAAGTAAGATAGAAGCACAGAACTATCCAAATTAAAAAAGAAAAAAGCAAAGAGAAAATTATGGATAAACAAGTCAGAACACTGATTATTGAAAGCATTGATATTCTGACATTTAAAACCAAAAAATATATTAAAAAATACAGAACAAAGAGGAGAGGCACAGCAAATGAAGTTGAACTGTTTTCAACTTCTTACATTGTTCATAAGGTTGTAAAAACATTAATACAGGGTAGACTATAATAAGTAAAATACAGATATTGTAATCTGCAGGTTAACCACTGAAATAATAACACAATCAGGTATAACTAAAAAGCTAGTAAAAGAGATAATATAGCAAGAAGTACTTTACTGAGCCAAAAGAAGGTAGGAAAAGGAGAACATAAAGTAATGAAGAAAAAAATGGCAAAAAAATAAAATACCAAAAAAAGCTAGCATATCAGTGATTAAACCAAAAATAAATAGCCTAAACCCTCTAATTAAAAAACAAAGATTCTAAGATTGGATAAAAGAACAAGACCAAAGGATAAAATGTTTACACAATACACGCTTTTAAACATATAGGACAGAAGAAGTTCTGTCATGCAAAGAATAGTTACAACAAAACTGGTATGGCTGTTTCGATTATCAAAGCCAGCATGATGTATTCATACAGACAAGTGACATTTTATAATTATAAAAGTGTCAACTTCATCATAAAAATGTAACAATCCTTAATTTTACTGAATAACATAGCTTCCAAGTGTATAAAACAGCTTCTCTTCCAATCATTTCTACTCTCTATCCAATTTGTCCTTTTCTAATCTCCACACTTTCCACCATATGATATGATATTAAATACTGCTGTTGTTCTCCTTATTCCCCCACCTCTTTGTGGAAGATGTGAGTTCCGCAAGGGCAGAGACTTACTATCCTGATCACACTTGTCCTCTGTAACCAGCCTAGCACATTATATAAATTCTATAATTTATATATAGAATTCTATAAATATTTGCTGAACACATTAACAAAACTGCCACTACATTTCTTAGTGCTTACGTCTGAAGTTGACATATTTCTTTTCTTCAGTTATGCAATCATTTAAATAATACTTAGTAAATCTCTGTCGGCCAAGATTTTGCATGAGTTCAAACAAAAAGTTTGAAAAATGTTACTAGGAAATACACTTTTCTCTTCATGAACCAAAGGCTCCAAAAGTAAAAATCATTAAAATATGACCTCCTCCACTTAGTAAATATTTAAATATATATGTATATAGATTCACATAAATAAAATAATACAATTATATATTAGCTTTCATGTTTATTCAACTTCACAGAAAATTCAAAAATGTGTCTGAAAATTGGTTATCTACCTAAATACCAATTGTTCATTATGGTGACATAACACTATATGGTAGGGGACATACGCCTAAGTTAAACAAATTCTTAAATTCCTGACATTCTTTAAGTGGACAAAAGGAGATCTTAAAAATCAAACTTAACAAGTTGTAAGAAAATACAGAAAGTCATTTAACCTTTAATGCCTGGAACAAGTTTTACAGCCACATTTGTAATTTACATATACAGTGGAGATCACTGAAAAAGCTTCCTGTTGCACTGCAGCAAGACATTTTATTATAATGTAGATTAAGTGGATTTGCTACACAGTGCAGCAAGATAACCTCACTGAGGAATCGTAAGAGTTTCATAGTGGAACTTGTTACAGTGAGTTAAATATTTTCTTAATTTTATACAGTACATATTTTCAAAATGAACATTATCACTGAAGAGTTTGCTAACCACTGTTAGCAATTAATGTTTTACACATACTTAATTTTACTTTAGTTACAGTATGTGGCTCTCCAAATGTTAGTACATGAAATGTTAAGTTTAAACATAATAATAAGATAATCCCCTAAAATGACTCAGGACATGAAAACTTTGATCATTATTGCACCTATTTTTCTACAGAAAAATGGAAAATTTACATTGTAATCCTCCCAAAAAGTGAACAGACAAGTTATAAAATCACAGACTCACTGGCATTGAACAAAATCTACAATGAGCATTTTGTGTGAACTAATGTACAGAATTAAATGTGCAATGAAATTTGGTTAACTATGATCATGCAAATAAAAATCCTCCACAATCATTTTTTCATTATGTTTTATAAAATGGCCTTAAAGATATACTTCCATAAACATTTCTGGTGCAATTTAGTCAAAGACAAAAATACAAAGCTATCCCTTATTCTTTATTTTATAGATTTAAAAACATGCCTTTGTACTGCTGAAATAGAAATAGCGTGTTTGGGAGAATTGAGCTAATGACACGTTTAAAAACCAGCTGTATATTGGTCCAACATTAGCTGCCTTGATATATAGCAGCCTCCCATTATCACTGGTGTCAGTACTGTTGTAAATGAAGAATAGTTAAATATTGAGAAATTAAGACACAATTCAAAACTTTTTTTTTTAAATAAAAGGCCCTTTCATAAACATGAAGAAATTTTTAAAAGAAAAATAATCATGTCAATTGTGAGTATACACTGGAAAATAGTAAACATCATTTTCCAAAATAGTAGTTTCTTTATTATATCCCCCATCTATTATAACCAATCTTGGAAATATACCTTAAACATAATGGTATATTTAAATGAAAATGCTCCATTATTCACTGTGATAAATAAGTTAGAATATGATTTTCTTTTCTGATGGAACCATGAAAAAATGAAAGAACAGCACCTGAAATACTAAAATGAATTTAGGTAAGCATTAAGTCATACCCTATATGTTTTGGTTGAAAATACAGTTCATAAAACTGTATAAAGGATACTGCCTTTGTTTCTAGGTTTTGTAGATTACAACAAAGAAAAGAAGAAAGATATGCTCTAAACCCAAATAAATCTCCACTCCTCTCAATCTGGACAAGTGGAATTTCATTCAAAGTTCATAAGACTGTGGTACCTACAGTAGCTCATAGAGTTGGATATATCACTCCCACCCTGCCCCTCCCCCCAAAAAACAATTTTTGGCTCCAAAATAAAGTACAATAATAAACTCTTGATGAAAAACTATGTTATGGGGCAATCTATCATATACTATGGCTAAATATGAATTTACAGAAAAGAGCACATCCCATTTTCAGCAATTTTTTCATAAACATGCAACTCACTATAAAATACAAAACACTTGCTTTCAAGAACAGCTTTATAAAGACACACTGCATCAATAAAATTTTTTTCTTTCTGATTAACTTTACACTGTTATGGAGAACTGAAACATTTCTAATGTGTATATATCAGATTTTATATTATAGTGTAATAATTTGCATTTTCTGAACATAATGTTCAAGAGGAAGTATCTATACACAATAACATTCTAGACTATCAGAAACTAATTCAAATAACAGAATTTTATTGATACAGTAGATTAATAAAAACTGAAAAGGGATGATAAAACGGGATAAAGAATTCAGTACATTATTTTAATAACACACTCTTTAAAATTAAAATATTTTAAATCTCTCTCTTTTTAAAATTTTCATTGCCATGAAAGGCCAGAAAATTCTGGGACCAATACTGAGGTGTAAATAATCAAACAACTTGAGGACTGTTTCACCATTTGTGTGGCGTCCTCCCATCAGAGGCATGATTCAGGTGTGATGGCAGACCACTTAGCACCTCTGCAGATTAAGGATGCCTGGGAGTAAACACCAGCTAAGAGACGCACGGGAAAGAGAGCATTTCAACTCTCCAACAAACAGTGATATCAAGAAAATGACACCATTCATTGAAAAAAAATTTTTTTCACAGTAAAATTGCAGAGAATACAAATACAAACACTGACAGATTGCTGCTTAAGATCTATCCTAACAAACTCTTTTCAAATCAATAGATCCAATAAACAGTGGAGCACTGTCAGTTTAAAGCCGCAGATAAAAGCTATACAAGCACTTTAGAAGTCAGAAACATCATAAAAAAAAAAAGAAAAGAAAAAATATATTTACAAGTTTCTTCTTTAGTTTATGTCTACATAGCCATCGCACATTAGACTCTTCCACAAGACTCCATAGTCAATGTTGTCACCATGCGCATGGCTAAAGCGTGTGACCACAGACACATGAGGTCATCAGAGTAAGGTCCAACTGTCCACTCTTCAGCAGTCCCATATTGTGCATCAAAGGCTTTACTCAGCCTGAAGCTTGACAACCACTTTTTTCCAAAGCTCTCACACAGAAAGTTATTAACGGCATCTGTTCATCGCCTTTCTCTTTTAGGACCTCGCCGCCGCACCTTGAAAGAATCATCAACAGGTATAATTACCATTGTTTTATAACCAATTATTATTCTTAACATGTTCCTGATAGTCCTTCCTTAAAATCTTTCTCCTACATTAACTTTCTGCCTTAGCATCACATACATGAATGCTCATATACAGTCTTTCCCAGGATTAGCAAAAGAGAAAATATTTTACTTTTCTGTTTAATAATTTTAAAGAGAAATGAACAGAAGTCAATGTCAACAGCAAAAAACAATGACAAATATCACCTTGTTATTTATGTGTCTGTAGTAAAGTATGTGTCTGATATTTATGAATTTAGGCTTATAGCTACCTTTCTCAGAAATTACCTATTGAGTCTGGATCATAACAACTATCAAAAACATACAAAATGTGGGAAGTACTAATGAAAGCATAAAATTTCAGATAAAATAAGTGCAGTATTAACAAGAGGAACACAAATAGAACAGGATTTTAATGTAATTAACTTATAGTTTAGTTTTCCTTTAATGAATCCATCAGTTACTATGTACTTTTCAGCCTTATTTTTATACCTTCCCCCCATAAAAACCCTTTACAAGCCAAACTAGTTTGAGACCATAATTCAACATATTTTTTTCCTCTGGTCTTCAACTAGTTCAGATAAATGAATCCTGATGCAGACAGAGGTGCTGATTATATTAAATAAGACAGAGGCAGGAGTCAACTCTGGGGCTTGAGCACAGGACACACGTTTCTCAAACAAAAAAACTGAAACTAGCTGAGCTGATCCACAGATTCAGCATGGATATTAGCAATACACAGCTCTTACTTAGATGCATCAATTATATTTCTTCCAAAGAGAAAAATCGGAGATGTGACAAAGTCATTCATTATTTTAAAAAGTATCTTACGAGGCATCACATTCCTACTTTTGTGAAAGAAAGGTCTATTGCCAATTTTTATGAATTCCAAATGCTAATTTATTTGAAGACATGACTTTATTCTACATGACTGACTAACTTCTAGTTGCTACTAAGAAACTCAAACAAAAAACTTATACGAAATATTACCAAGAGTATATATAACAGAAAACATAAATGCATGCGGTGTCGTCCCGAGACCATCACTTGCTCTTCTCTGTATTCAGCTGTACACTAGACATTTACACTTTCACTAGGCTACGTCTATTACTCTCACTTGGTTTCAGGTTTTCATAAATGATATTTTCTCCACAATCTAAGCTGACAGACGAACTAACACTATAAACAAATGAAAATACATATATATATATATATATATATATATATATAAATATTCAGAATTATTAAGTAACAGCAAGTGCTAAAAGAATCTGACCATTTATCAACTCTAATTCTATAGAATACATTCCATACTAACACACATGGCACTTTAAAAAACACATACATTTACTGTAGAGACTTCCTCTTCCTCTGTTTCTTCCTGTGGATTTTCATCATTGACAGGAGAGCTACCCTGAAACACATCTATTTCTTCACTTGAGTCATTTTCTTTAGTAGCTGCTTGTTTAGAGCGTCCTACACGGCTAGAGTAAAACACAGGTAAAATAAAATGAACATTGTGATTTTTAAGTGGTAGTTGACTTCATAAGAGGGCTTCTCTGGTATACTGCTCAGCTGGTAAAGAATCCGCCTGCAATGCAGGAGACTCAGGGGTTCGATCCCTGGGTTGGGAAGATCCCCTGGAGAAGGGAAAGGCTCCCCACTCCAGTATTCTTGATCTTCCCTGGTGGCTCAGATGGTAAACAATCTTCCTGAATGCAGGAGACCTGGGTTCGATCCCTGAGTTGGGAAGATACCCTGGAGAAGGAAACGGCTACCCCTCCAGTATTCTGGCCTGGAGAATTCCATAGGGGTCGCAAAGGGTCAGACACGAATGAGCAGCTTTCACTTTCTACTTTACTTCATAAGAGGAAATGCTTTAAATACTTCATAGACTTTCCTTTATTATCATTTTTACCCTCAATTACCGTGTAAGCCAAGAAATATTTTTCTTACATTCTAAACCCTAAACCAGTACTTAACCCTAGATTGTTACATATAAAAAGATCTACCAAATAACAAAAGTCAAGGTGACTGAAACCAACACCATAAAGGATTTAAAAATATAACCCAAAGTCTATTCTGCCTTTTATCTTCCCCAAGTCTGTAAAAGGCATCTATGTCTACTGAGTTGCTCAAACCAGAAAATTTAGAGTCTTCCTTAATAGTGTGCAATTCTTTATCTGACCCAAAGATTCTACTTGTAAAGAAATCTCAAATCCATTCACTTCTCTCCATTTTCACTGTTACATCGTACATATTTCTAAACCATTCTCATCTTTTGCCTCTCTACAAGTAATCTTTTAAAAATGTAAAACAGCTGATGTCACGTCCCTGAGAGAGGCCCCTACTATACTCAGAGTAACTGCATTAACCTCCGTGATAAGTACATAAGGACCTTTAGACTGGCCTTGCCTACTTGTCAGTTCTCATCTCTTTCTACACCCCAATTCCCTGAAACTGCAATACAGCAAAAACTTTGCCTTCCTTCAGCTCTTTGAATTTGTCAAGGTTCCCACTTCAGAACCTTCCAAAACAGGGTTCCCTCCACCTGAAATGTTCCTCTCCCTACTATCGAGAAGTGTAACTCCTACTGTTCTCAAGGAATCAACTTGAGGCATCAATTTGTTGTCAAGAATCAACTTTCCAAAGAGAAAACTTCCCCAGCCCTCTCATTACACTCTCTTACAGCACCCTAACTTTTTCCTCCAAAGTACATTTCACAACTTACTATTCCACATTCATGTGTGAATATTTACTAACTACATGCCTGTTTAGATGGTAAGTACTATAAGGATGTCTGTTTTCTGTCACTATATTCCTTAGCACCTCGTACTCTCTGATACATAGAAGACACTCAAAAATATGTAACAGATACCACCATTTAATTAAATGTATATATCTGTCAGTATTTAATTTTTAATTTAGAATTTTCTAATCATTTCAATAAGCAGTTGAATATACATACTGTTTAATCTGTACTCAAACCAATTTACTCAAATTTACTTACCTGATTCAGTTTTTCACAATTAACAGAAGAAAATACAGGGAAAATAATATAATCTTGCTCAATTCCACTGAGATCAGAACAAGAAAACAAGCAAATCGTAACATTTGTGATCACACTACCTCTAAAGAGGGACTTTCCAGTAAAAAGAAGTTAGGCTGTTAAGACAGGATATAGAATCTCTTTCTGTGTTGATTTTTTTAACAGAAAATACTTGCTTCATTTCAAATACTCCCGTGAGGACTTGTGTAATTTTACAAGATAACATGATAATCATATAAGCCCTTAATTTTATGATGCCCAAATATAAACAAATTAAACTTACAAGCATGAAAGATATTTACCCTGTTATTTTGTTATAAAATTAATCATCAAAATTTAAGCTATCTTAGGAATTTTTTTTAAAAAAAACAGTGATTTTCCATGGTTGAATACAAACACACTTACAAAGGTGCAGCAAAAATGTACTTACCTTTACTTTTTACATGAAGGAAAAATTAAATGGAAAAGGCGGGAAGTACTGACTAGACACTCGGTAACTTTTCCTATGGAATACATAGGAACAGGAAAAACTATGAACTGAGTGTTTAACCAAGGTGTGCTGGCAACTCTGAAAAGTCAAGCCACTGAAGTATGGGATTACTTTCAGAAAAACTGCAAAATTTCTAACAGACAACATGCTACTCTGTTCTTCCTTTAAAGGAGAAAAAAAGTGCCAAATTTACAAATTACAACATTGATGCCCCTGCCACTTTAATAATTTCGGACATAGATTTGTTACTGTAACTCTCCTATAAACATGTACTTGTGTGAACACCCAAAACTATCTATATGTAGATACAGATGTATTAATTTGATTAGAAAACAAACAATATCAAGACATCAAAAGCTTGACATCACTATGGGATAATTTCCACTAATGTACTTAGGAAAAATGATGCCTGTTACTTTCCTACACTGATCAAAGAAGGAAAGCAAAAGTGTATAAGCTATTTTTTTTAAAGCTGCTGAGGAAAGATGGAAAACCTGTAATGTGGAATAACAAGAAAATGTGGTCTATGCTGTGATTATTTAAAGATACGCCATCATCTCTTTAGGTACTATAAAGTGTGCACTGGAAATAATAAACTATTTGGTATTCATTTATAACCATTTGTCTAAAACCTATAAAAATGTACAAATGTCGCCAAAGGATGATTGGGGTATCAATCACCTAGGTAAGTTTACAAAAATTTTATCTTACCTAGTATAATGGGCTAAATATATGGGTGGCTCAGACAGTAAAGAATCTGCCTGCAGTGCAGGAGATCTGGTTCGATTCTTGGGTCAGGAAGATCTGGAAAAGGGAATGGCAACCCACTCCAGTATTCTTGCCTGGAGAATTCTTCCCTGGAGAATGGATAAGGGAGCCTGGTGGTCTACAGTCCAGGGGGTCACGAAGAGTTGGACACAGCTGAGCAACTAACACGTTCACTATGTATAGCTATATTTAAAAATTTATCAACTCTTGCAAAATAATTTGAAACTGGTTTGAAACTTAATATTATTTACAACTTACACATTTTTGGGGGGTTGTGATGGTGATGGCGTTTTTGATGGTCTTCCTCGTCCTTTCTGTGGTATGGACTGTGTGGATTCAACTGCACTAGTTTCAGGAGACTCTGCTCTGCTTTGGGGAAGACCCAGATGCAGACAGCATCAAGTTATGATTTACAGTACAGTAACTGAATGCATGCAGTTCAGAGTTGCACACACTTACCTCTGCTGTGCTCTCCTTGAAGTCCGGTGCTGTTTACTTTTTGACTTCTGCTCTGTGTTTCCACTTTGTCTTTCTTCTTCGTCCTCCTCTTCTGCTGTTGAAGGTCCAGATTTTTTTTTGCTTCCTTTTTTGGATGTTTTCATCGTTGGCTCTTCTTTGGGCGTACCCCCACCAAGAGGTTTTGGTGGTCGGCCTCGTTTACCTTTTTTTGGTGGACTGTTCTGTTCATCCTCATTTTCTAGTATATCTTCTTTGAGCCTCTTTTCCTCAGGCCACTGCTGTTCGTCTGACTCTGAAGCCGTATGGCCTCTCTTTCGTCCACGCTGACTGCCTTTAGGTTTCTGTTCCTGTACCAACTTGGAAAGGTCATCCATGCCTAATTTCTCTTCCGAATCTGTTACAGGTGTCTTTTTCCGGCTTCTAGGTTTGTCCAATTCAGACTAGGAATAAAAGCCATGATTTCAAATATAAAACTTAGTATACATTATTAGTGTGTGTGTGTGTGTGTGTGTGTGTATATATATATGTTCAAGAATAAACAAACAAAATCTGTTATCCACTTCAGTCATAAGAATGTACCTAAATAAGGTCTAGAGGTTTTAAGCATGTCAGAACCGTAACTACCTACTTGCTTTTATTAACAATTTTCTAATATAAAACTAATCTGGGGTTAAGAGGGTAAATTTTTATTCTTACTCAAGCTAGAGAGCCTCAGATGAAACCTCTCAAGATCAGCAGATGATTTGATTATAAATTTTTGATGAAGAGCTAGTCCATTAAAAATAACATTCTAAATTCAACACTTAAAAGGAGTCATAGTTCAGTACTCATTATAAAGAACAGAAGTTGTTTCTTATTAATATCTGTTGTCTCTACCAAGTTTTAATTGGCAACTTACTTTCAAATATTTCACAAATGTCTATACTGTTTTGGTAATAAAATCAATGTATTTTCTTGGGGAAAAAAAAATCCATCTGGTCTACTAAAAAAGGAAAAAAAGCCAAATTCAATGCTTAAATAATAGACTACACTGAGTATAGTAGATCTTCATTTGATAGTCAATTTAAGCAATCCTAATTTTACCACACAGTGTATATAATAAGACATAAATATCAACTATGTAATGCATAAAAGAACTATTTTATTTCATAAATGGAGGTTGCAAGATACAAAAGTTAAACATATTCATCATTTATTAAAAATTCTGAAAATAAAAAAAAAAAATTCTGAAAATACTTCTGAATCAAAGACATTGCTTCTTCCCAGATACAACAACAAAATACAAAAATCAGTCACTTTCAAATTTAATATAAAATCCCAGTCTACATTCACAGAATTTAAGCCTTAACTCCTAGATGGACATTCTTTAAAGAAATTCTTCAAAGAAACCAGGAATAGTATGTATAAATTTGTAATTTTCTCCACAGGTATACCATGTGTGTAAAACATATAAAAACATGTTTGTAGTACTAAGTTAATTTCCAAATGGTCTGTTCCTTTACATTCTTTTTTTTCCTTTACATTCTTAAAACATCTGTGAAAACAAAAATTATCTGATTACTTATAATTCTTCACATGTTTAATTAGCCATTTGTGTTTCCTATCTTGTGAACTGCCTAATTATGCCCTTTGTCTGTTTATTGGAGTTTAGAGTTTTAATCTACAATATTTTACACTTTTGTGTATATTTTAAATTTTATTTCCTGTTCGTTGTGATCTCAATTGTGTCCCCACTAAATTCACAAGCTGAAGTATTCTGATATTCTTTGGAGATGGGGTCTTTGAGAGGTAATTCTAAAGTCATGAGGGTGGGGCCATCATGATGGGATTAGTGTCCTTAGGAAAAGAGACACCAGAGAGATCTCACTGTCTCTCTCTCTCCACCAGCTTGTTCAGTTGCTCAGTCATGTCTGTCACTCAGTCGTGTCTGACTCTTTGCGATCCCATGAATTGAAGCACTCCAGGCCTCCCATCCATCACCAACTCCTGGAGTTTACTCAAACTCATGTCTATCAAGTCAGTGATGCCATCCAGCCATCTCATCCTCTGTCATCCCCTTCTCCTCCTGCCCTCAATCTTTCCCAGCATCAGGGTCTTTTCCAGTGAGTCAACTCTTCGCATGAGGTAGCCAAAGTACTGGAGTTTCAGCTTCAGCATCAGTCCTTCCAATGAACACCCAGGACTGATCTCCTTTAGGATGGACTGGTTGGATCTCCGTGCAGTCCAAGGGACTCTCAGGAGTCTTCTCCAACACCACAGTTCAAAAGCATCAACTTTTCAGCACTCAGCTTTCTTCACAGTCCAACTCTCACATTCATACATGACCACTGGAAAAACCATAGCCTTGACTAGACAGACCTTTGTTGGCAAAGTAATGTCTCTGCTTTTTAATATGGTATCTAGGTTCGTCATAACTTTCCTTCCAAGGAGTAAACGTCTTTTAATTTCATGGCTGCAGTCACCATCTGCAGTGATTTTGGAGCCCCCCAAAATAAAGTCCGACAACGTTTCCACTCTTTCCCCATCTATTTCCCATGAAGTGATGGGACTGAATGCCATGATCTTAGTTTTCTGAATGTATGAGCTTTAAGCCAACTTTTTTACTCTCCTCTTTCACTTTCATCAAGAGGCTTTTTAGTTCCTCTTCACTTTCTGCCATAAGGGTGGTGTCATCTGCATATCTGAGATTATTGATATTTCTCCCGGCAATCTTGATTCCAGCTTGTGCTTCTTCCAGCCCAGCATTTCTCATGATGTACTCTGCATATAAGTTAAATAAGTAGGGTGACAATAAACAGCCTTGACGTACTCCTCTTCCTATTTGGAATCAGTCTGTTGTTCCATGTCCAGTTCTAACTGTTTCTTCCTGACCTGCATATTGCTTGCTCAAGAGGCAGGTCAGGTGGTCTGGTAGACCCATCTCTTTCAAAATTTTCCACAGTTTATTGTGATCCACACAAGGTTATGTTTAGATCCCTCTATCTAATTTCACTGTAACAGTTATTGCTGTAAAGTAAATCTTTTTTCCCCCAAGTGGCTATCCGATATAAAGTAAAATGACCAGAGTAAAGTTAGTTATATGTATACATACAGACATACATCTACCATGCTAAATTTAGTTTTTCTATTGCTTCCCCTTAATTTTTTTAAGAGTATAAAAATAAATGTCTCTTCCTTTTCATTGTCACACTTTTGGTTCCTATTTCGTGTCTTTCAGAACTGGCCAAATATTCCAGAACAAGAACAGTGGTGATAACCGACTGTTTGTTTTGTTCCTGATTTTTAATAAAAATGCTTCAAGTATTTTGCCTTTAAGAATAATAATTTTGACCAAATCAATGACTACTGATTTAAACAGATAAAACTTTTAGCATATAATGAAGTATGTTTCTTGCATTAATTTACAAAGAGTTCACTCATTTGCCAAGAATCAAATTTTATTTATATCTCCTTGGCATGATCTGAGATTATCTTGTTAGCATCTTTTATTTAGGATGCTGACTTTCTATATAAAAAGATTTTTTAGCATTTAAATTATCCTTGCATTCTGGGGAAAAAAAAGACATATAAATGTTTGCTTTTAATTTGTTAGTATTTTTCTAGAGTTTTGTACATAAATTAAAAATTAACTGTCATTACTTAGAGAAGGGAAGGAAAATATTAAAATAAAACTAAAGTTTCCAATTATAAATATTACAATTCATTTTGACATCAAAAGATCTGAAAAAAAATGGCTGAAATCTTAATGTTCTGGAAAAGGCTGGTGGTAAAAAGGAAATTCAATGTCTGTTTTCTTGACAGTATCATAAAATAATCTAGCTTCCTAAAGCACTATATTCTCTAATTTTTCATTTTGTACTGTACTGTTTTCAGAACAGAGGGGGTACAAAATCGACATTGGAAGTAGGAAATGGGGAAAATGTTAACTGTAAAACTAAATTATTATTGTTCAGTCGCTAAGTTGTGTCCAGTTCTTTGCGATTCCTGTCTTCACTATCTCCTGGACTTTGCTTAAATTCATGTCCATTGAGTTGGTGATGCCATCCAGCCATCTCATCCTCTGTTGTCCCCTTCTCCTCCTGCTCTCATTCTTTCCCAGCATCAGGGTCTTTTCAAATGAGTCAGTTCTTCGCATCAGGTGGCTAAAGTATTGAGTTTCAGTTTCAACATCAATCCTTCAATATTCAAGACTGATTTCCTTTAGGATGGACTGGCTGGATCTCCTTGTAGTCCAAGGGACTCTCAAGAGTTCCAACTGTTGTGGTTCTCCAACACCACAGTTCAAAAGCATCAATTCTTTGGTGCTTAGCCTTCTTCATGGTCCAACTCTCACATCTATACATGACTACTGGAAAATCCACAGCTTTGACATATGGACCTTTGTTGGCAAAGTGACATCTCTGCTTTTTAATACACTGTCCAGGTTTGTCATAGCTTTTCTTCCAAGGAGCAAGTGTTTGGATCCCAAGAAAATAAAGTAAGTCACTGTTCCCACTTTCTTCCCATTTATTTGCCATGAAGACGGGATGCCATGATCTCAGTTTTTGAATGTTGAGTTTTAAGCCAGGTTTTTCACTCTTCTCTTTCACCCTCATCAAGAAGCTCTTTAGTTCCTCTTCGCTTTCTGCTGTTAGGGTGGTATATTATCTCCCTATGAGGTTACTTCTCCCGGCCATCTTGATTCCAGCTTGTGATGCATCAAGCCTGGCATTTTGCATGATGTACTCCACATAAAACTTAAAAAAGCAGGGTGACAATATACAGCCTTGTCATTCTCCTCTCCCAATCTTGAACTAGTCCATTGTTCCATGTCCGACCTAACTGTAGCTTCTTGTCCTGTGTACAGGTTTCTCAGGACAGGTAAGGTGGTCTGATATTTCAATTTCTTTTAGTAATCTTCCAGTTTGCTGTGATCCACACAATCAAAGGGTTTAACATAGTCAGTGAAGCAGAAGTAGATGTGTTTTAGGAATTCCCTTGCTTTTTCTATGATCCAAGAGATATTGGCAATTTGATCCCTGGTTCCTCCGCCTTTTCTAAATCCAGCTTGTACATCTGGAAGTTCTAGGTTCACACTCTGCTGAAGTCTAGAAGGGTTTTGAGCATTCCCTTGCTAGCATGTGAAATGAGCACAATTGTATGGTAGTTTGAACATTCTTTGGCATTGGAATGAAAACTGACCTTTTGCAGTCCTGTGGCCATATTTTAATACAAATGTACATGAACAATAATCCCTTTGTAGTGAAATTTCAATGTGAAGCTGGTAGTATACAAAAAAGGGGATACTTTTTTACTATCTATTGGTCTTTAAGTTGAACTTCTATCTCATGATGTCAGCTCTCTGAAGACATTTCAGTTTAAACAAGCTTATTAATAAGGTTCTTTTGAAAAAGGATGCAAAGTTACACAAAAGACAGCAAAAGCCTTATTAACTACTCATATGAATCTCAAAAGGTCATAAATTCAGAACTGTTCTATGAAAACATAGACTTTATTCTGCATTGCTCCAAAATGTAGACTAGGTATGGAATTTATAGGATAACAAAATATTAACCATGTTTTCTAATTTGGGGGGTGGGGGAAAGAAGAGCAGTATATGTGGGTGTGGATAACCTAGCTGAAGTCTCCAACAAATGGGAGAAATAACAGGCTTTCCACTTAAGGCATTTTCAAGTACATGGTAACTATTCTCATAAATTATAAAGAAGGAATTTCTGCACTAACGGAGAGGTCAGATTAGAAGACATACATAGCTTTTCCCACTCAAGGATTCTTCTATAAATCCAGATAACAAGGTTCCTTTCTGGCTAAGCAATCAATTTTTAATTCTGCTTGGGTAGAATTTTTAAACAGCCAATAATAATCAGAATTAATACTATAGGTAGGATTGAGTAAGAATTTTAGAGTTTCAAGTAGAAAGAGAAACAACTTGCTAAAATAAATTACTGGAGAAACCTGAAAAAAAAAAATGAAAATCATTTAAACTTTATAGGATATGTAAGTTTGGACCACTGGAAGACAAGAAGTCCAAAGCTTTAAAGAATAAAAACTGCTTACTAGAATGGTAAGACACACAAGAAATTCAATATACTTAAATTACATGGTAGAGGATAATTATAAACTCAAATTTATGATTAAAACCACTGAAGTAAAATCAGATGTCAAACTTGAAAGTAATATTAACTGGTTTCAGTGTAAAACTTATTATTTACATAGTAAGAATTACTATTATTTTACTTATTATAAAATCAAATGAAATATCTCACCCTTACAAGATCAGAGTCGTCTCTCTTGTCACTTTTTTTTCCCGGCAAAGGTGAAGACATTGTGTAATCTTCATTTTCACTGTGATCCATTTCAGAACTATCAAGCCTTTTAATACAGATATTTGTTATTATTATTACAATCAAACCTTAAAAGTTCTTCCTGTTTCCAGTGTAGCTTTATAGCTTTATGAACAAAAAGTTTCATTCTTTCCAGAAAGTATCCATTTTATTTTCATGGTGGATTACTATCAGCTGACTCTAGCTCCTCTATCCCCCATCAGTAACCTAGGTAACCTTCTAAAAGCGCAAGTCAGATCACTAGCCTCTACATCTTCCAGTTTTACTTAAAAGTCAAACCAAATCCTTTACATTATCCACAAAGGTCAAACATAATCTGGCTACCTCTCAACTTCATCCCTGACCATTATTCTCTAATCCCTACTCTCCAACCAAAGTGATCTCTCATACACACCTAGCCCATTCCCTTAGAAAGAGTCCTGGTGAACAAAAAAGACACAACTTAGAAACTAAACAACAACAAAAAAACAAAAAATGCTAAAACTAGTTAAAGTGTAAATTATTTTCCTTTTTTCTTAAGAAAATAAAAAAATGAAAGTTGAAAATAAAAAACTGAAATAGCATAATTTAAAGCACATTTTTAAACTTTTTTAAAACAAAAAACTTATATACATGCACAGTAAAAGAAATTCAAAACCACATCAGAGGATCTCTCTCCTACACTAGATTACTGTATACACTATGAAGACGTTGGGTATTCTTCCTAAAACTTTTGATGCATGTACAAGCACATGTAAATACAAATTCTTCTTAAAACCCAAAAATACTTTACACTGTTCTATTCTTTGTCTTTTCCACTCAATCACATATTGTGGAAACTCTTCATATGAGCTCATATGTCATCATTTTTAAAGGACTATGTATTCCACTGTATAGATGAGCCGTAATTTAAAGATTTAGATTCACTGGACACTTAGTTTGGAAACCAGCTTATGTCTAACAACGGACTGCCCCAACAAGCTAAAATATGAAAGGCTACAGAGTACCCATCTAAGCGAGTAAGCAAATACGTTTACCTTGTAAATGGCTATCAGTGTTAAAACAGGAATGTACAGATATGCACTGACTTTCATTCACTGACACTAAAGGTAAAAGATGTTACTTTAGATCTCACAGCCTTGGTGGAGTCCTTAATGTAAAGCATGGTACTGCTTGTGTACTTACCTCCCTTTTATTCTTCCAGGAGAGCTTGGATTTGAGCTGCTGCTTGCATTGCTTACAGTTTCCATTCGTGATGATTTTGTCTGAGACTGTTTGCCTGCTGATGAAAGCGGCTTATTAACAGCTCCTAGAACATTGGTTGTTTTGGGCTGAAATGAAAAATGCATGTCTCTTTCTATTTGATAAAAGCCAAAGGAAGCTCAGACATAAGGAATCACAATAACACCGCCAAAGTACTTACACATCAATCATCACAAGCCTGCCTGTCCTTAAGCAAAATCAGAATTACAAACCGAGTACAAAACTGTTACAAACAGTACAAAAACTGTACTAACAGAATAACAGTTACGTTTCTAAGTTATCTACAGTAAGAAGGCTTACACAGAAAGTGAGAACACAAAAAATGTATAGTCAACAATGAAAATTGACAATTAGACTCTTGCAAGCGACTTAGCAGCAGCAGCATCAGGGAAGGACATAAGATATCTTTTTTACTTTAATAATACAGAATAAGAAATTTAAGAAAGATATCCAGGGTTTTACCATAAGCTAAGAAATGTTCTATATCTCAACCTACATCTATATAGTAAAAATAACTTTTTCTTACTAAATGGAAGATACTGAATATTTCTATTTTCTTTTCATATACCAATTTAAAAGAAATACAAAATAACATAATTATACCAACAGTCACACTAAAATAAACTACCACATAAAAATTAAAACAATTTTCAAAACATACTTTTCCAGGAGTGAAAAATGACTTCATTTCTGGAGGCAGATAATTTTTGGTGTTACTGAAGTTCTGGAAGCAAGGGAAAAAAGACACAGTCAATGACTTCTGAAACACTATCTACGAAGCAATCCAAAAGTCGACAAAGCTTAAATTAGAGCAGCTTTTATTTTAAAGTGCATTATAAAATACGTATTTATTGAAACTAAAAATCAGTAGAAACAAAATTTCAGTCACTGATTTTAAATGCTGTAATAGCTAAAACTAACCTTGTACTAACTCTAGTATTAACACAACATTTTTGACCTCTAATATGCTAAGGCTCTAAGAGCACCTGAACAAAAACATGCTTATATAATAATACTCTCCAGGGAAGAGACCACATATATACTCCTTTTATCTTAATCACAAAAAAGTGAATGCCTAAATGCAGACAGTCCCTTTTTAGGTGAACCTACAAGGCCTGTTCAATCTCTATACACTGGGGTTAAGATGTTAACTGATGTTCTAAGGTAATGACTGTTTTCCTCTCACTTAGACTATAAACCTCCAAGAGATTCTTGAAAAATACCTTTTTGAGAATAATACTATACTTGAGTTTTCTGAAAGTGGTTGGGAAGATCCCTGTAACGTTCCTCGGGTATTAGGCCTGCTCTGATTCTTTCACACCAGTTAGAAATTTCAAGGGCTTATAATTTCAGACTATATCAGCATTCTCCTTCCCGTTTTGAATCAATGGCCACTAACTCGTTAATTTACCAGCTTTGATCACATTTTTGCCTGTGCTCTTAAAACTAGCATAAAACTTAGAAAACAATAAAAATAATAGATCATTTTAACTCATTTCTGAACCTATTTGTGTCCTCCGGCTTGGCCCATATTCTGATCTTGAACATGGTTAAGATTCACGGTGACCCTTCCCCATGACATAAGTAGTGGGTCAACTCTTGACACTGATTCCTCCTGATCTTCCCACAACCTAGTGGTGACAATACATTTTATTTCAACTTACACAAATAAATCCTAAAATAACTACCTTGTCAGGCTGGGTGAAAAAACGAGCTGGCAGTACTGGGTCTTTAGGAGATTCCAAACTATATGTGGTGCTTTTTGACATGATGATATTCATGGCAACATCACATACAGTATATAGTTTCTGCAATGGGTATTAAACAAAAAGAAAAAACCAGGTACTTAAGCTGGCAAACTAGACTCTATGAATTAAGAGTAATTCCAGAACATGCATTTAGTATGTAGCTTCCAGGACAACAGTGCAAGTTAAAATACTTATTCTATTATTGTAATTAGTTTACTACTAGCAGCATTACTACTATTCTCTACAGATTCTATATTAGTAAGTCTAATTACTAACACGAATACTACTATTTACTACTAGTAGAAAAAACTGATGCTGTCTACAGAAGTCTCATACCCTATACTCAAATGCTTAAAGTCAATACAGAACCATAACTATTTACAAAGAATTACATACTTCATTCATTTTTGCATCATCTGGTCCTTGAGCATCTTTTGTTTGTTTAATATTTTCTACCATCTTTCTGATAAACGCATGACTATTATTTTCATTTTTAGCCATCAGTATTTCCAGAACAAACCAAAGACACCTAAAAAATACCAAGAAAAAAATTCACTATTAAATACAGATATAATTCTAAATAAAATGAACTTCAAGAGCAGAAAAAGTTAAAAAGAAACAGCTATAAATCAATGGAGAAAAAAAGTACATCACATACATATTACAACATATCAGCAATGTAGGTATGAATTCATAACATCCTTTCTCAAAGTCTCACTAATTTTCCTAGGTAGACAGAAAGTTAAAAAGAAACAGAAATGGTAGAAATAAAGAAGTGATCTTAATCCCTAGCTATGGCAGGGAAAAAGGACTGCCTAAAACAGTAACTGGGTCATAAAGTAAAGACTCTAATGTTCTAAGATTGACTGTGGTTCTGACTGAAGTCTTTAGGAAACTCTAACAACCGTACCAAAATCACTGCAGATGGTGACTGCAGCCATGAAATTAAAAGACGCTTACTCCTTGGAAGGAAAGTTATGACCAACCTAGATACCATATTAAAAAGCAGAGACATTACTTTGCCAACAAAGGTCCGTCTGGTCAAGACTATGGTTTTTCCAGTGGTCATGTATGGATGTGAGAGTTGGACTGTGAAGAAAGTCCAACTTGGACTGTGAGCGCCGAAGAACTAATGCTTTTGAACTGTGGTGTTGGAGAAGACTCTTGAGAGTCCCTTGGACTGCAAGGAGATCCAACCAGTCCATCCTAAAGGAGATCAGTCCTGGGTGTTCATTGGAAGGATTGATGCTGAAGCTGCAACTCCAATCCTTTAGCCACCTCATGCGAAGAGTTGACTCATTGGAAAAGACCCTGATGCTGGGAAAGATTGAGGGCAGGAGAAGAAGGGGACGACAGAGGATGAGATGGCTGGATGGCATCACCGACTCGATGGACATAAGCCTGAGTAAACTCCAGGAGTTGGTAATGGACAGGGAGGCCTTGCATGCTACGATTCATGGGGTCGCAAAGAGTCGGACACGACTAAGCAACTGAACTGAACTGAACTGAATAGCATAGGAAATTAATTTATTCAAAAGCACAGAGGTCATCCTTTACTATAACAGAAGTAGGATCTCATCTCTATTTAAGAAGTCTTACAAAGACTTCTCTAAATATCATTATATTCCCCCAACCCACACCCTGGCAGGTATATTCTTCTGGCACCTCAATAAGAACCTTTGAAAGAACTGCAACTGTCATAAACCCAATTTAGTCAGAGAATCAACAGTGAAGTATGGGAACAGTTCCCTGGTTATCAACTTGGCCCATTATTAAGTTAGACTATCTTTCTTCCTTATGGAGAAAGACAGGAACTGCAAAGGAAATATGCTTACCATGTGAATAAAAGAGTGTTAATTCACTCCACATAAAAATCTATACAATGCTTCAGAAGAAAGTAGGAAAAGGTAAGAATTACAAAGCAGATAACTGCAACAGAAAAGAAATGCCAGACTGGTAGAGAAATAGGACAATAATACAGTAATTATGCTAGGTTGTTTTGGGAATTATATAAGAAGTAAAATATGAAGAGATGGTAGGAAAAAAGAGAGAGAGCAAGTAAGGTAAAGAACCTTAAACTCCTAAGAAATGAAATAAATACAATACACTAATTATAACTGAGATTCCATTATCAGCAGGAAAGGGGAAAAACCTTCAGAAAATATGAAAATGGGATGGAAAAAGTCTTACTCTTTAACGTCTTTAAGTTGTTCAATATCCTGTACTTTGACATAATCTGGGTCATGAGCCAAAAGGTGAATTGTATATGGAACAACATACTCAGGTAGAAGAGACAGTAATTTTTCTGAAAAATAAAACAAAAACATCCAGGTTAGAAACCAAATCTTACTCACTCTCTTTCTCTCTCTGATAGTCTATTTCTTGCATCCCAATAAGTTACCACAATATCGCTGGAAGAAAAATACACTGAAAGGTCCAGTGCTGAGGTACATCATAAAGTTTATTCAGTTATCCATCATGGCCAATATTGATATGCCTACTAAATGCACCCTGTGCTGAGCCTACAAAGATAAATATTTCAATTTTCAACAGATATGAGAAAAAGTGACCCAAACTATACTCAAGACTAAGGAACATAAAATCTATTTTTCTTCTTATTAGTAACTCTATGTTCAACACTCCCTTGTAAGCTGCTGTGCAAAAGGAAAACAACTAGTAAATCTTTCAGTCAGTTTGGCACAAAAATAGGAAGTAAAGGTTGATACTATTTAATACAATCTGCAACATTAAAACTGACAGAAAGGAACAGACACTGTTTCTAGGGCATTTTAAATAACAATGAAGTATCTTTTCAGTTTAAATTCAAATGTTTTAATATTTTGACTGAGATCAGTACAGTCCACTACACATAGAAATGGAAATCCTAATTAGTTTTAATAAAGATTATTCAAAAGACCAAGATTCATACTCTGAGCAATTCTTTTTATACTTCCTACTCTTGCAATTTTAAATCAGATGTTCAGTCTAGAGTAAAATAATGTATGTGTCAACAAGGCACCAAATTTTCTTTATTTCTATCACTGAACTCAAAGAGAATAAGCTTGTATGTAATATTCATTTCAAGGTAGGTACAGAAGAAAAAAGTAACAAGGTTCAAAATTCAGTGAAATTTGAATTAAAAGTCTATCAAACATGTACTAAGTGCTTACTCTTTTCCAGACCTACTATTTGAGTAGGGCTTACTATTTTAAACATAAAGATGCATAAGACTAGACAAAGACCTCACAGTGTGCACAGACAGGACCAGGACAGAAGCCCCACTTCACCATGGACAGTACCCTAAAATAAGAACAGCTAATAACTTCTGAGTACTTCTTTGGACCATGCATTATGCCAGGTGCTTTATATATATAACTCTTTAATCATAACCACCATAAGATACAAGTAAAACTATACCAATCTTACAAAAAGGAAACCGAGGCTCAGACTGCATAAACACAAATACAACCAGTAAATGGCAGAGGTGAGATGTAACTCCAGAACCCTCAAGGTGAAGTAGGAAGAGAAAGAAAGAGGGTCCCAAAACTGTATTTTAAAGGATTCACAAGGGGCAAACTTCTCTCCTCGGTTTTGTTTATTTGTTTGGCCAGAAGGGGGAAGCAATTTCCAGACAGAGTTGACAACAGAGGAAAAAGCTGGCTACACAAATTTCAAATAATCCAGAGTACAAGGAGCAAAGAATTTACATTCAGGAGTAGCTAGAGAGAAAGTTTAAAACTCAGGCTGAGAGTTAACTACATAATGGTCATGCTAATGAGCTTCTACTTGATCCTCTGAGCAGGAAGGAGCCAACCAAGGTTTCAAGCACTGATCTGTTTTAGGAAGATAATTTTGACAGTGGTGTGGCTTGGCTGGAGGCAGGGAAACATTTACAACAGGGAGTTAGTTAGGAGTAGATATGCTAATCCAAGTGAAATACAGCAGGATAGGGGAGTTGGGGAGAAACAGTGAAGACACCCAAAAGAAGAATTAAGAGGATTTAGTGACCAATGAGAGGAAAAAAGAAGGCATGAGGAATGCCTCTGACTTCTGACTTGCATAACTGGATGGCTTTTAATGCTGTTGATCAAGTCACAGAAGTCAGGGACACAAAAACTAACAGTGTGGACGTAGTGACGTGAGCAGACTTTTAAAAGGCACACAGGACCCTGATATTAATGTCAGCTACAGGTGAGGACCACCAATAAAGTTTAAAGACCTGGACTTTTTTTAAACTAAAAGAGTACTTAGACAATCTTCATAAATGTACCTCTTACTGTTTCATTTACCTCCAAAGTTCCTCCTTTTTCCCCTTGGCCTTTTAGTCAGCTGCATAAAGAACTGTAGGTTGATATTTAAATACCCATACATTTGTATTTTAAAATAACCTTTTACGAGGAAAAGTTGCTACTGAAAAACAGTAATAACAACCTACTTAATGAGGGGTGATTAGAATATAATAAACAACCGTAACATTTTGTGTTCCACAAAACTGAAACTGGCAAGATGGGAAAGTACACTCTTCATTTTCACACAAGCTTACCGCTAACAGCTGCATGCTGTTTCAGATACTCGCGTCTCACATTGATATTTTTTACCAGACACTGCCTGGCATGAGCTCTTCTTTCTTTTACGGGGTCTTTTGCACAAAGTGCACAAATTGCCATATACTCAAGTGGAAGCCGTAATCGAGAAAGGCCTTTGTGAAGTTTCTGAGCAAACACTTGTCTTACTTGATAGCATTCATCCTGGAAGACATAATTATTCCACATGTTACCTACATGGTATCAAAGAGGAAATAATGACTTTGGATAGGAAATCCACTCTATCAGGTAATTAGAAGAATAAACAGCACTAGTACCCACAACCAGTGCCCCAGTGCACAGGACCAAGATGTGACAAATTAACATGGACGCCAGAGTGGTAACTTGGACCTTAAAATGACTACCAGCTACCTGAGTGAGAACACACTGAATGTACTCTTAAAATAGATAAAAACTACTAAATATTAATCCGCCTTAACTTAAATGAGATATGTAAAAACAAGTCTGAACACTATCTCATATTTACCTTTTTCATTTACTGAGCAAGATAAAACTGTCCAATTTATATATTTAGTTCTATCATTTAAAAAAACTGTTCAGATCACCAGCCCAGGCTGGATGCATGAGACAAGTGCTCAGGCCTGGTGCACTGGGAAGACCCAGAGGAATCGGGTGGAGAGGGAGGTGGGAGGGGGGATTGGGATGGGGAATACATGTAAATCCATGGCTGATTCATGTCACTGTATGACAAAAACCACTACAATACTGTAAAGTAATTAGCCTCCAAATAATAAAAATAAATGGGAAAAAAAAAAAAACTGTTCAGATTAAAAAGCACAATTCCGAAGGCAGGAGTTACTTAATCCACTTCAGCAACATCACGTTCCTCTTAATTCTAAAAATGAACTGCTCATCACTGTGCCTGCTTTTCTCACACTACTTGCTCTCCTAAACCACCCACCTCCACTCTAGTAGCTGACCGGTCCTCATCTTCAGGGACAGCTCCCGTACCTTCCAGAAACCACTGTGTAAGTCTTTATCCTACCCTCTGTGCATATCCAGTACTGGGCTCTGCTAGTACTCTGTGCCTAGCTCCAGCCTAGCATTTAGTACACAGTACGAAAGGACTGGTCTACCTGTCTTATGCAGTGCTATTTCTTGAAGCCAAGCACTGTGATTTTATTCCTCCTTGTGCCTCAAAACCTAGCACAATGTCTGCTACGGATTATGAGAATTTTTTTCTAAACTATAGGGAAAAGCTCAATATGACTTTTGAACCATATATGAGATACACAAAGACTTTCATTATTATATTCCATCAATGAACATAACATGTGGTATGTTTCATATTATTGCAACTGTATGTTTATATCTTCTATCTAGAATGCTAATTTCACTTTTCTTCAAAACCCAGGTTGCAACATCTTTCCCTTATCTTTAAATCCTTATTTTGTGCATCGTCTTTCATTTACTTTAAACTTCAGTTTATTACAATACCAAACACCCACTTTTAAAAAAAGTAGTCAAGTGCAGCTACTATGGAGAATAGTATGGAGATTCCTCAGAAAACTGAAAATAGAGTCACCATACAATCCAGTAATCCCACTCCTGGGCAGATAATCAGACAAATCTATAGTTCAAAAAGAAACCTGCACCACCATGTTCATAGCAGTACTGTTTACAATAGCCAAGACCTGGAAACAACGTAAAGGTCCATCAACAGATGAATGACAAAAATACAATGGAATACTACTCAGCCATAAAATGAATGAAATATTGCCATTTTGCAGCAACATGAATGGACCTGTGGATTATTATACTAAGTGAAGTAGGTAGGTCGGAAAGACAGATACTATCACTGATATGTGGAATCTAAAATAAGACACAAATGAACCTATCTACAAAACAGAACAGATACACAGAACAGACTTATGGTTGGTTGCCAAGGGGAAAGGTAGAGTGGGGGAGGGATGAAATGGTAGTTTGGGGTTAGCAGATGCAAAGCATTATATACAGAATGGATAACAACGTTGTACTGAATAGCACAGGAAACTAAATTCAATATTCTGTGATAAACCATAATGGAAAAGAATATAAAAAGAATGTGTGTGTGTGTATATACACACTACTGAATTACTTTGCTATATAGCAGAAATTAACACAACACTATAAATCAACTATACTTCAATTAAAAAAACAGTAATCAATAGACAGAACTACTGTCTATTATCTATATCCTTATACTCCACAAAACAAAATTAAACTTATATCACCCATTCCTCATTATTACTCCTATAGGGAGAGGAATTTTCAGTATCCAATTATTCATTATGAAAATATCCAATTACAAACAAACAATATAAGTAAAAGTCAATGCATCACAAATATATTCACAAATGAACAAGCTATTTGTAAGAATATTAAACAAGTGGGAGAGGGACAAATTAGAAGTATGGGATTAATAGATACAAACTAGTCAATATTATCCTGGAGAAGAGAATGGTTACCCATGCCAGTATTCTTGCCTGGAGAACTCCATGGACACAGGAGCCTGGGGGCTATTGTCTATGGGGTTGCAGAGAGACAGACATGACTGAGCAACTCTTACTTTCACTCAATACTATTATCTAATATAATAAGCTATAGTGGAATATAACCTACAGAAGCAACCGGCATCACTATGCTCGTCACACCTAAAACTAACACAATACTGTAAATCAAATATACTTCATTAAAGCAAGCAAACAAACAACAACAAAACACTAAAGAGCACTCAAATATCCCTCCACACAACGTAGATACATTTCCAAAGTCATGTTTTTGTCATTCTTTCAGTAATCACTGATGATCTAATAGTACAATGCAAATTAATAACAACGTCAACTGTGAATCACAGCAAAGGGAGGAGAGTTTCAAAAGATCATTAAGATAATGTTAGAAAAAAACTGTCAAATCATATGCAAAGCAATTGGCACATTTAACAACAAAAGTTGAGAAAATTGACAAGAATGATGATACACTGGGTACAGCTAAAGAGAATCACCTAAATAAAGATTTAAAAGATGTGCTCCTGGGAAATGAGGAAGTCTTCCAATGTTTGCTCTGGTTTTTGCAAAGATTTACTCTTTACACTAGTTTATAAAAAATAATATGAAGTAAAGAACAGATTTATCCTTTTGACTAGATTATTAAACCAGTCAATCCTAAAGGAAATCAACCCTGAATATCCACTGGAAGGACTGATACTGAAGCTGAAACTCCAATACTTTGGGCCACTGATATGAAGAGCCAACTCATTAGAAAAGACCCTGATTCTGGGAAAAATTGAAGGCAGGAGGAGAAGTGGATGACAAAGGACAAGATGGTTGGATGGCATCACTGACTCAATGGATATGAGTTTGGGTAAGCTCCAGGAGACAGTGAAGGACAGGAAAGCGTGGCATGCTGCAGTCTATGGGGTCACAGAGTCAGACACAACTAAGCAACTGAACAAGGCTATTAAAACCATAAAGTAAAGCTTTACACTTTGACTATGTTATAAAAACATGTGAAGCAGAGGATAGAGGGACACAATTTTTATCAGGAAAAATACACTCTCAAAAAAGCAGACACTTGATACTTTCATGTTTATGGTTATAACCAGTAATTGGTTCAACATAAGGAAGGTGGTATCTAATACTACCAAATATTTTTCCAAGATAAAGTTCCAATCAAAGCTTTTATTTGCTACTAAGAAATTCATTTTAGTCTGCATATTAAATAAACTTTTGTGTTAATTTCTGCTGTACAGCAAAGTATATGTTTTAAGTATAAATTATTCTCAGTTATTTGTAGTATCTTATAAATAGTTCAATTATTCTGTGTATTGCATTGTATTTACAGCACTTATATTTTCTGTTCTCCTAAGAGGTTATCTTCTTAAGGGCTGTAGCCATGACTCACCTTTGTATCTGAAGAACCTAGAACAATGCATAGCACACATAGAAGTACATAGTAAATTTTCATGACGTGCATTCAAATTCTAAAATACCTAGATTGGCCTGGAGAATTCCATGGACTGTATAGTCCATGGGGTCACAAAGAGCCAGACATGACTGATTGACTTTCAAAGGCATCCCTGGTGGCTCAGCTGGTATGGTAAAGAATCTGCCTGCCTCAGCTGGTAAAGAATCAGCCTGGTAAAGAATCATCTGCAATGAGGGAGACCTGGGTTCAATCCCTGGGTTGGGAAGATCCCCTGGAGAAAGGAAAGGGTACCCACTCCAGTATTCTGTCCTGGACAATTCCATGGGCTGTATAGTCCATGAGGTCGCAAAGTGTTGGACACGACTGGGCCACTTTTGCTTTCAAGATTTGTATTACTGAATTTTTATTCCTCCAGATTTACTTTCTATTCAAATACATGACAAAGGCCACTGAGATACAACATTGCCTTTAACGAGCTCAACTCAAGTAAATACAAATAAACCATAGGCATGTAACTAAGCACAAGGCAAGTACGTATCAGGACTGTAGATAAAATCTATAGGGGATCCAAAGGAGATCTCTTGTAAGAATAAGAGCAAGTTTCATGGAGAAGATTGTGTCTGAGCCTTAATTTGCAGAAAGGGTTGGATTTGGATATGTATAAATGAAGAGGGTGAAAATAAAATTAGAGGGAGGCAAACCACAGGTACATAAAAGAAAGAAAAAAGTTCAGCTTCACTGAAATAAACATAGGTAAAGGGTGGTGTGCTAAACAGAATTTTTAAATGCATATGCAGGTCCAAATATTAGAAGGGCTTGAATGGCAAGGTAAAATATATACAAGTTTTCTTTCTTATGAGTACAAGCCCATAAATATTTCTGACCAGGGGAATAACATGACCAGAACTTGATAGGGAAATTTAACACACCATAGAGAAAGTCTCCCAACAGCACAGATGACAGCTAACGATGGGTACAGCAATCAGAATGGTTAAGGTTAAGAAGGTATGAATAAAAAAGATGTAATAGATATCAAAGGACAGAATTATATGTACTTTTGTAACAAGGTGCAAACACAAACAAACAGTCAAATATAAATCATGCTTTTAGGTCTAAGAAATGCCATTCACCTTTACTTAATGTTTATTGAGATTCTCTGCATGTCAGGAAAGAATAGATTTGGGAGAGATTCAGTCTTATGTTCTCAGAAAATAAGTTTCCAATTTCTGTTTGGCTTTGGAAGAGGGTCCAGAAACTTGAGAAGGGCCAGAAAATGTAGTTGTGAAGTATGACAAAAATCAGGAGACAAAAGCCAAAAAAAAGTATTTCAAAAATAGAGGTGCAATACATAAATAAATTTTAAAAAAATAAAAATTAAACATGCAAAGAGTTGTGTCAAATAATGCCAAAAGGACATGTATAATAAAGATTAAGATCATTGGACTGGGGGACTTAATTAGATCATTTCTGGAAAACAGTGAAAGCAAATGCTAAAACGTGAGCAGGTAAGAGTGAGAGGATAAGAGAGCAGAGACAAGCCTGTGGTTGAAAGGAACAACCAAATTAGGACAAAGCTTTGTTTACAATAGGGTAATCCCATATTTTTAAGTTGTGAGAATGTGCTAATAATTAACATTTTACAATTAATACATGTTTCACAGTCAACAGAATTCTAAAACAACCTTTAAACTTAGGTAATCTGAACTTTCACACTGGGAGTTTGGTGACTGAGACAGTAACATATACAGTATGCTAGAAAAGAAAGTCTCTAGAATTTAACAAGCATGGATGTTCTCTGGATAGAGTGGACATTTAACTAATGATCTGCACATACTTACTATACAGCAAGTTTCAAACAAAGTCCATCTCTCTTAACATCCATACTTGTCCTAATTTTTTTTTTTAATGTCTACTGAACAACCAATACCACTAATACCCTGAGAAATATCATACCAAGAATCCAATAAATCGATAGACTCCAAGTACTACCAATTTGAAAAATTAATTACATACGTTGTTTTCTAAGAAATTTAATATGTTATTTTTAAACAATTCTCATTTTATGGCAAAATAAGGTTACCTCCAAAATTAAAGAGGAAATAGTAAACCAGAAAATTATGGGTTTCGCAAAAATCTCATTTCTCATATTGCCTAGTCAAGTATCTGAATAACAGCACCAAAACTAAAATCATAATAAACAGATGTTTTAAATACTGAAGTACCACAAGTACTAAAAGTCAAAGAACACAAAGAATCATGTTCTGTACAACCAGCCATTTTCCTTACATTGATAGCTAAAGCACACAGCTGATACTGTTCTAACGTGATAATCTCATGGTAACAGGGCTCCTGGGCCAGCTTCACAATTGCACTCCCAGCAGCGAGTCTCAGGCGTGACATATCTGGTTTACTGAAAAATAAGCAAGAAAGAATATGAATTAGATTTCTAGACAACTGCACAAGAACATTCCTACTTTGTATATCTAACTTTATAAAAATTCCTCTGGCCAAAAAAAAAAAGGCATAAAACAATTCAGTGATACTGACCACTATATTATGCTTGGAAGATGGTGTCCAATAGCATAAAATTCTTCTTTGAACACAAGTCTAAGCTAGTCATTGAATTCTCTTGTTCTACACAGAAAGTTTTCAGACAAGCCTAGGACAAATCTATCTGTATGTTCAGTTGTTAGGTCTCAATCTTCCACTACGGACTTTTCTTGGGATATGTGTTTACTTATGTATTGGGCACAAAATATCATAACTTGCTGATCATTCAACTAAAACTATGGTGTAAAGTACAAAAGATGTTAACATCAAAGCAGGTACAGTAGATTAAAAAAATTACTATTTTTAGCTAGTATTCAATTTTGAAATATTATCAAGAGCCTCTTTTTAAGGGATGAAAATCTGTTGTAAAATGGGATATATTTCAGGAATTAGGAAATTCTTAACTAGTAAATATATTTAAATAATCCTTCCTAATACAGAGACATATCAGATGAATTACTGATTCACTGAAATATTGTAAGGGGGGAAGTTGTAACTCCTTAATTAGGACTCCCTACATAGCTCCATAGTAAAACATTATTATTTACTACACATACAACAAATACACCATACTGAGAGGGATGTAAAAGAGGCAAATAAAATTTTTTAAAAAAGAGGCAAATCTTAATTAATCTTCCAGGATGCAAAAGAGACAAATCTTAATCTTCCAAGATCTAAAGGTCTAGTTGGTTTAAGACTCTTCCTTTAGCTTTCTAACAATTACATAAAAATATTTACTGAATGTATGCTAACATTAATGAGGTTCTGAAGTTACAGGTTGTAGAGAGATTTTCAGTTCATCAATAGCAATATTCCAAGTAGTTATTATAAGACAACTCACTGCTAAGGCAAGTCTGATTTCCTTGTTGGAATTTAGTAAAATAAAAAAAGTAATTAAAATACTTTGTGTGTGTGTACACGCACACTCAGTCGTGTCTGACTCTTTGTGACCCCACGGAATGCAGCTTGCCAAGCTCCTCTGTCCACCACCACGTTTCTGAAGACTAGTTCAAGAACGCAGACCCGAGAGCTCCTGCAGGGGCACGGGTCTGGCCTTAGCAGCTGTGGCTTTGTGGGCTCGTACACTCGGGGCGGGCCAGGCCAGGGTCTGCAGTGCCTCCATATGCAACTACTCCAGTCTTGGGACTTGACTTCAGTGTATCTGCACTGGTGACCTTGTGAAAACAACTCCTGAGAGACACCAAGAGCAATTGCCAGCATATCCACGCTTGAGGTGAGGCGAAAGCAGTGCCAACAACAGTGAGTTCAGGCAAAAGGTAAAGGTGACACAACAGAGCATATTCACAGGTACATATAGCTCCAGTGGAACAATACTCAGTGGCTCTTCTGGTGAGAGGGTTCCAATCCTTCCTCCCTTGCACTGCAGATCAGAAAAGGATCTGGGGTCCTCTACTCCCAACAACTTGGGAGCAGACCCTGCCCCAACAGGGCAGTGACAACCACAGACCAAAGAGGAGGCCTGGTCAATGTCCTGTGCAGGCTCTGGTCACTACAACATCTGTCACAGCTCCTTTCAAGGGGATAATGGCCAGCAAACACGGAAGAAGCAGGCTGTAGGCATCCATACTAAAAAACAGCCCTCACACCAAAAGATAGTAAACTCACACAGGATACACAGGGTCATCCCCACATAAAAACAGCCCTCAAAGACCACAGTAAGTAACTGTTCCAAACTCACAGAGCAAAAGAAATAAAAGTAAAATAAAGAAGCAGAAAAAGCACTCCCCATTAAAAGACAGAATTCCCCTGAAAGAACAATGAAACAGACTTCTTCAATCTAACAGACACTGAATTCAAAATGGAGAAAATGAATGAAAATACTACAGGAATTAAGAAAGGCCACTGACAGAGATGCAGATTACTGTGAAATGAAATTGGAAACTATAAGCAGGGGCCAAGGAAAAAACAGAGAATTCATTAGAAGAGACCAAAGCTGAACTAAACGCTATGGACAACAGAAGGAATAAGTGATCTCGAAGACAGAAAAATGGAAATTATCCAAGTAGATCAGCAGACAATGCCCCCCCCAAAAAAGGCAATATAAGAGACCTATGGGGTCTATGCAAATCTATGCATGATAGAGATTCTGGAAGAAAAAAGAGAAAGGGGAATGAACATGTCCTTGAAGAAATTATGGCTGAAAACTTACCAGGCCTAAAGAAAGAAACAGATATCCAAATAGAGGAAGCACAAAGTGCCCTTAACAAGATAAATCCAAACAGACTTATACCAAGACACATTATAATAAAAGTGGCAAATGTTAAAGAGAGGACTTATACCAAGACACATTATAATAAAAGTGGCAAATGTTAGAGAGGATTTTAAAGGCAGCAAGAGAACAAGAGTTAACTACAAGGGAACCCCCAAAAGGCTATCAGCTCATTTCTCTACAGAAACACTGCAGGCCAGAAGGGAGTAGCAAGATATATTCAGAGTCCAAAAGTGAAAAATCTGCAACCCAGGATACTGTACCCAGCAAGATTATCCTTTAGAATAGAAGGAGAGATAAATAATTTCTCAGACAAACAATAACTTAAAGAAAACAATACTAAACCTATTTTAAAAGGAAATATTGAAAGGTCCTCTCTAAGTAGAAAAGATCCAAGAATCTATAAGAAAAAGAAAATCACAATTGGAAAGTAAGTCACTGAAATAAGTACACAAATTCTTTAAAAAAATAAAATTACTGTGAAAGCAATGATTACCAAAATGAATAGCAAAAGTGTCACTATGAAGATGTAAAAGGACAACAAAATTATAAAATGTGGGAGAGGAGAGTAAGAAAATATAGATTTATCTTTTCCTAGAATGTGGTTCAGTTTGTATGATTACCACCAATCTAAAGCAAGTAGGTATATGAATGGGTTTAATGTATTTGAAAACCAAAGCAAGCACAAATCAAAAACATAACAACATTAACAAAAACCGAAAAGAAGAGAATACAAGAATAATACAAAAGAAAACCATCAAACCACAAACCTAAAGTCAGCAGATGGAAGGAAATAATAAAGATCAGAGAGGAAATAAATAAAACAGAGATTTAAAAACAATATCCAAAAAAAAAAAAAATCAATAAAACCAAGAGCTGATTCTTTGACATGGCAAACAAAAATTGACAAACCTCTGACCAGGCTCACCATGAAGAAAAGACCAAATAAACAAAATAAGAAATCAAAGAGGAGAAATCACAACTCAAACTGCAGAAATACATAGAAACTGAAAGAGAATTACTATGAACAACAGTAATGAAAGAGAATACTATGAACCTAGAAGAAAAGGGACAACTTTTTAGAAACATACATCCCACTAAAAAGCAAGAAGAAATAAGATAACCAGACCAATCATTATAAATGATTCAGAATCTGTAATTTAAAAAACCAAACCAGAAACACTCCCTACAAAAAAACTTTAAGACCAGATGGCTTCAATGGGGAATTCTATAAAACATACAAAAAAGAACTTCTTAAACTCTTCCAAAAGAGTGAATAGGAAGAAAACACTCCCAAAGACATTCTATGAAGTCACCATCACCCTGAAGTTTGGTAATGAAGTTACCAAAACCAGACAAAGACACCATCAAAAAAGCAAATTACAGGTCAATATCTTTGATGAATAAACACAAAAGTTCTTAAAGTATCAGCAACCTGAATTCAACAACACATAAAAAAGGTCATACACCATAACCAAGCTGGATTCACCCCAGGATCACAAGGATAGTTCAACACATGCAAATCAATCAATGTGATACACCACATCAACAAAAGAAAGGATTAAAACCACATGATCATGTCAATAGATGCAGAAAAAGCACTTGATAAATCAAGTCAACATTCACTCAAGATACAAAACCCTTATGAAAATGAGTATAGAGGGAACATAGCTCAACATAATAAAAACCATTTATGATGAACCCACAGCCCATATAATATTCAACAGTAAGAACTTGAAAGCCTTCCCAGTATACTCTGGAGAAAGACAAGGATGCCCACTCTCACCACTTCACTTCAACATAGTATTGGAAGTCCCAGCTAAAGCAGAGAAGGAAAGGAAATAAAAGGTATTCAAATTGGTAGAGAAGAGGTAAAAATTATTATTATATGCAGATGATACGATATAGAAAACTCTTAAGACTCCACACAGAATCTACTAGAACTGATAAATGAATTCAGCAAGGAGAAGGATACGAGATTAATATACAGAAACAGGCTGCATTTATTTACACCAACAATGAAGTATCAGAAAGCGAATGTAAACAAACAATTCCTTTTAAAACTGTACCACCAAAATAAAATACTTAGGAATAAATCTGACCAAGGAAATGAAAGACTTATATGCTGAGAAATACAAAATATTAATAAAGAAAACTGAAGATGATTCAGAGAAATGAAAAAACATCCCAGCTCTTGAATTGAAAGAGTTACTACTGTTATTAAAATGGCCATACTATTCAAAGCAATCTACAGATTTAAGACGATACCTATCAAATTACCCATGAGACTTTTCACAGAATTAAAACAAATAATCCTAAAAGGTAAATGGAACCAAAAAAAAAACTCAGAATTGCCAAGGCAATCCTGAGGAAGAGTACAAAGCAGGAGGCATTGTCCTCCTGACTTCAAACAATACAAAAAAGCTACCATAATCAAACCACTATGTTATTGGCACAAAAACAGACACATGGATCAATGGAACAGAATAGAGAGCCCAGAATAAATCCACAAACCTGTGAATAGTTAATCTTTGACAAAGGAAGCAAGAATATTCAATGAGGAAAAGACAATCTCTTCATCAAGTGGTGCCGGGAAAGGACAGCTGCATGTAAGTCAATCAAGTAAGGACACACTCTCACACCATACACAAAAACACCACCATAAAACTCACAGAAGAAAGCCTAAATATTCTGACATAAATCACACAATGTGTTCACAGGTCAGGCTCCCAAGGCAATAGCAATAAAAGCAAAAATAAACAAATGGGACCTAATTAAACTTACAAGCTTCTGCACAGCAAGGGAAACCACAAACAAAACGAAAAGACAACCTAGGGATAGGCAGAAAATATTTGCAAATGATGTGACAAATAACAGCTTTCTTTCTGAAATACAGAAACAGCCCATAAAACTCAACAAGCAAGCCAATCAAAGAGTAGAAGATCTAAATATACATCTCTCCAAAGGAGACATACAGATGGCCAATAGGTACATGGAAAGATGCTCACACAGGGAAGACCCAGAGTAATCAGGTGGAGAGGGAGGTGGGAGGGGGGATCGGGATGGGGAATACTTGTAAATCCATGGCTGATTCATGTCAATGTATGACAAAAAACACTACAAAAAAAAAATGCTCAATATTGCTAATTACTAGATAAATGCAAATCAAAACTACAATGAGGTACCACCTCACACCAGTCAGAATGGTCATCATTAAAAAGTATATAAACAACAAATGCTGGAGAGAGTGAAAAGAAAAGTTCTTTCACTTTCGGTAGGACACTGTTCTTAAACTGTTGGTAGGAATGTAGATCAGTGCAGCCACTACGGAAAACAATATGGAGGTTCTTCAAAAAACTAAAAACAAAGTTCCAGCAATTCCACTCCTGGGCATACACCAAGACAAAACTAAACTTAAAGAGATAAATGCACCCCGATGTTCACAGCATACATAAATGCACCCCTATGTTCACTATTTTCAGTAGCTAAGACACGGAAACAACGCAAATGTCCATCGACAGATGAATGGACAAAGAAGATATGGTATGTGTATACAGTGGAATATTACTTAGCCATCAAAAAGATGAAATTCTGCCATTTGCAACAACATGAATGGACCTAGAGATTATCATACTAAGCAAAGTCAGTCAGAAAGAGAAAGACAAATACCGTATGATATCATTTACATGTGGAATTTAAAATGTGACACAAATCACATATCTACAAAACAAAAAAAAAACTTACAGAAACAGAAAAAAGATATGTGGTTGCCGGGGGAAGAGGTGTAGAGGAGAAAAGGATTGGGAGTTTCGGATTAGCAGAGGCAAACTTGTAGCTATAGGATGGATAAACAACAAGGTCCTACTGTACAGCACAGGGAACTATATTCAGTATCCTGTGACAAACTACAATGCAAAAGAATATGAAAAGGCATATATACATATATATGTATTTAACTAAATCACTTTGATGTACAGCAGAAATTGACACACTACTGTAAATCAACTGTACTTCACTAAATTTTTTTAAAGCAGACAGACCCAATGTAATTCACACACACTTATAGAATTCAAGAACACATGTGATTTTGTTAAGAATACTATGAATAAAAACAGGTGACATGAGACCTAAGTATGCACATAAATAATTTAATTAGTAAATTTGAGATAAAATGTATTAATACTAAGGAAATTTTTCTAATTATTATGTAACTCTTGGATGCTAACATAAATTATGAGTAGAAGGTAGAGATAACTAATTTTACTGAAAAGGTAATACATGTGGAATACCTTACAGAATTTTCTTTTTATTTGATCTGTTTGAGAAGAATGTGTTAATGCTAATATTCTATGCAAAAAGTACTGTATGAGCAAAACATGTTAAGAAATGAAGCAAAGATGGCAAAGTATTAAGCAGCTGACAATTACCATTCATATTTGATCCTATATATTTTATGCTAGATGTGTGTGTATACACACACACACACACATATATAAAAGGTGGGGGAAGTTACTCTCATATTTTTAACTACCAAAAAGATGCTATAAATGGCACCTGTATTTTCACAGAGGACAAACTTCTAAATTCTAGCTAATTCTGACATAACCACTACCATCAATATATCTAATTACTATGTGCTGGGCAGTGTTTTAAATACATTAAATATACTAACTTATTTGATTATCATAATAGTTAGATGAGACAGGCATTAATCATCATCTCTGTTTTATAGCTGAAGAAACTGAGGCACAGAGCAGTTAAAGTAACTTGTTGAAAGGTACCAAGCTGCTAAGATGTGGTCCCAGGATTTGAATCTGAAATCCGGAGTTCATGTTTTCAGTCACTAGACTATACATCTTTCAAACAAAACAAACTAAAAACAAACAAAAAAGTATGTGTATTTTTAATACTTTGTGTCAAGTGCATTTTCCATTTTCCACATATGCATATATTTTTGCTTCTGGAGAGCCAATTTGATCGGAAAAGACCCTGATGTTGGGAAAGACTGATGTCAAAAGGAGCAGGGGGTGGCAGGGGATGAGATGATTAGATGGCATCACCAACTCAATGGACGTGAGTCGGAGCAAACTCCAGGAGACAGAGGAGTCTGGTGTGCTAGAGTTCATGGGGTCGCAAAGAGTCAAACACAACTTAGCAACTGAACAACAACAACACTTCTGGAAACAGATTCAGATAAGTTACTTTCTATTCAGTCTGTTCTTTTGCATTTAGATATTAACAAGAATGTAAAACACCAGTTACTGATTGGTACATTAACAATTTCACATGAGGTATTAAAAAAAGTAAACATCTACTGTTAAAAATACTTAAAAGCATTCAGCAGTAATCTGCCCTAGACATGGGACTGTCATTTTAAAATAACCACTATACAAAAGCCTATTACAATAAAAATATATGCATATCTACAAATCTGTATTATTTTGTTTAAAAAGAAACCATCATTCAAAAATTACATCAGATATTAACATACTGTGTAATCCAAAGAATGCTGAAGCTGTAATTACATACCTAATTTTCCCTTGTTCTGTCAAGTCTCCATCACTGTGCAATATTGTTGTGAGCAATCTTAAAGTAGAAGTTCCTGATTTACTGTGATTATTTTTCATTCCAAGTAGCCATCGAACCATCATTTTAATAGCCTGAATCTATTTAAAATACAAATTGACACAACATTGCTACTGTTCAAAGAAACTCTCCATTAGCTTTGAGAAAGAATGAAGAAATGTTTTTAATAGACGCGTTTTAAGAAAAGGAAAGAAAAAATTATTTTTATTTGCATGTGTGAAGATAACTTTAAATGTTTTTAAAATGTCTCATGTTCCACCTCCTGGTAATTGACAAATGAATGATTTATCTAAAAACTGGTTCTTCCTGCTTTTTAAAAAATGTTTCTCCAACACTCTACCCTTTAGAATCCACAGTAAAATCATGCTAACTTCCCTAACCCATGAAGTTCCCAAATGCAAATCATATTCCATCTTTTGTGTCTAAGAGTTTATACCACCTTACATTTGTACAGCATTTTTCATAATTATGAAGTACTTACTATCAATATCAGTACTTTAATACCTGTTACTGCCTCTAATATTTGGAACAACCCTTTCTGAAGGGGTGCAACACATTTTCTCTTTTTTACATATTATCTTACTTTTTATAGATCTGAAGCTTCAGAGCTAAATGGGTTTTAGACAGTGGTATGTGGCTTACACTCTTCAGATTCCCTTCCTTGGCCACTTCGTAACCATGTACTTAAGTGCAGGTGGCCTGCCTTCTAACACAGTGTTGTCCATCTATACAAAACTGGTGCTTGAGACCAATGTAGAGAAAATTGGTTCATGCTAGAACTCAAAAGTTGCTAGCATCATTCAATGATGCTAAAGAAGACTGCCCTATAGGTCCAGAGAAATAGTATCAGAATCTGAAAACTGCAATAATGTGAAAAAGTAGTTCACAGTATGAAACATAAATATACAACAAAATTATTTATGAGAAATTATAATTAGAAAAACAACATTTAATGTATTTGTTCTTGGCCTTCACACCTTGGGCAGCAGATTGATATGAGGTCTATATTACAGACTACATACGGTTTTAGAGAAGTAATACTCCTAAAGAAGCGATAAGCAATCTTTTACATATGACTCCTAACTCAAGAAATTACAGGTTGAATTTTTTTAATAAAAAAAGTTTATCAAATCCCATGGAAAAGATGTGTGTGCAGGCTCAGTGTGTCCAACTCTTTTGTGACTCTACTGGCTGCTGCCTGCCAGGCTCCTCTGTCCATGGGATTTCCCAGGCAAGAATACTAGAAATGGGTTGCCATTTCCTCCTCTGGGGTATGTTCCTGACCCAGGGATCGAACCCTCATCTCCTGCATTGACAGGCAGATTCTTTCTCTTGTGTTGGCAGGCTGATTCTTTACCACTAGCGCCACCTGGGAAGCCCTGAGGAACCATCTTAAAACCTGGATGACCATCTTTACTGAAAGGAGAAGGTACTTAAAGCCAGCATTGTCTTTTGCCACTAAAATATTGATATCTAAGAAAAAGAAACATGGAAGGAGTTTTCAAACTCTTTCTATTTTCCAAACTAGATTATGTGCAGCTGCCCAAAGTCTCAGGTTTCTTAGTATTGCCCTATACTCTCATGGCCCAAAGGATGTCAGAGAATAAACAAAAAAACCCGAATTACTTCAATAGCCATATCTTTATAACAGGAACTATTAAAACCTATAATATAATAATAATAGGGTATATTAAATAGATTAAAATCAACAGATCTGTGCATTTCACTCACTTTGACCATTGTTTCAGGTGAAACCTCTTCATCTGGAACCCAAAGCTTAGTTGTCTTTTTTCCTGGAAGCTAAACAAAAATTAAGGACTTTAAGACATAAATTCTCATGTGTAATTAATATTTAGAGAATGAATGAAATCTTTACCTTCTGCAGCAACAGTCATTATATATGATTATGTTTTCTGTTACTTACGCAAAAAGGTTGAAAGCCCTGTCTTCACCAGCACCAAAATGAACCTTCTGCCTCCAGCACCAGTTGGTTCTTTGCAGGTATGAGACAGGACTGACTTCAACAACTTATGTATACTTCCTTGCTTAACCCCCTTTAAGACTAAAGTTTCATTTATTTAAGGCAACCGGCAAGGAATAGGATAAAAATCAATGGAGCCAAAAAGGATACAGATGACCCTTGAATAAGACAAGTTTGAACTGTGCAGGTGCACAAACATGTAGATTTTAAGCGAATATATACTACAGTAATACACAGTACACAATCTATGTTTGACTGAATCACAAATGCCCAAGGAACAGCATACAGAGAGCTGACTATAAATTATAAAAAAGATTTTTCCACAACACAAAGGGTTGGCAGCTTTAACTTTCATTTTGCTCAATGGTCAGCTATAGTTAATAAACAAGGGGAAAGGTAGCTGCAAAAAGCCTTGAGCAGGGAACAAATATAAAGGTTTGCAGCTGAAGTTACAGAAAACACACATTAGTATCTTCCTACTTAAAGACAACACACTCACACCCACACGCCCCACCCCACACCCATCCCCCTTACCCTGTTAGCTGGGCTGGGAAGCAAAAAAGTGAAAGTGTTAGTCATGTTCAACTCTTTGTGACCCCATAGATTGTAGCCGGCCAGGATCCTCTGTCCAAGGAATTTCCAGGCAAGTATACTGGAGTGGGTAGCCATTCCCTTCTCCAGGGTATCCTCCTGACCCAGGGATCAAACCCAGGTCTCCTGCATTGTGTATTGTTTGCCGGCTGAGCCACCACGGAAGCCCAGAAAACAAAACCAAAATCATAGAAAAGTTTCAAAAAACAGAAAATATATGGCGGGGAGAGGGGGACACGACAGAGCTAGAGGATTGACATCTCCAGAAAAACACAGAAAACACCCTCCAAAAAGTCATCTTTTTAGATAAAATCATAGAGTAACACTGAGATGATAAACTGAAAGTATTGAGAGATGTGAATTTACAGTAGCAGCCAGGCAATTAAGTAAGGTGACCAAAGAGCTGAACCCAATCTTGGAACACAGGAGATCCCATTTTCACCTCAACGTGACATGCACAATTTCCAGTTGGAAACAGAAATCAAAGAGCACCTCCGATAACCTTCTGGCAACAGAACAGGAAGTTCCAATACAGAAGGCAATCTCCCCAAACACACAGAGCTATTTACAAATAGTTTAAGGACAAAGTCTTGAGTAGAGAAGCGCCTTCAAAGCATGAAGTGAAAATAAGGAAAAAAAGAATTTCATTAGAAACATACTGACGAAATTTCTGAACTAAGAATATCCCCCAAAATCCCAAAGCTCCCATGGAGGAACCTACCAAAAAAGAAACAAGAACCACATCAACTTCAGATTTCTTGGTGGCAAAACTACATGCCAAAAAACAATGTTCTGAATTTTCCACAGCCAAGAGAGTTGAAAAATAAAATTCTAATATTTAATAGGGAGAAAAATATTTTAAGAAATCTTTCAAATTACAAGCCAGTTTGAAATAATTAGATGCCTTCCACATAAATATTAAATATTAAATTCACAAGAAAATTCAATCAGCATAAACTATTAAAAATATAAAATAAAAAATATCATAAGATTAATAAACAGGTTCAAAAATAATAAAACCATAATAGATGCAACAAAACTAAAAAAAAACAAAAAATCTAAAACTAATGGACAAAAATACTAGTCAAGATGAAAAAGCATATAAATGAGGTATGGAGTTAAATGGGATACTAATATTTTAATAAAAAGGTTACTGACATATTTTTCTTTGATCTTATAAGATACAAAATTATGAACACCTATAAAACTAGCAGGATAATGTCAAATAACCAAAAAACAATTTTTTAAAAAAAGATTAAAAACTACATCATCACAACTGAACACTCTTTTAAAAACTGATAAGATGAAGTTGAGATGAAAAAAGGTAAGCAAAGGAAATACATGTAGAAATATAAGAAAATATGTAGCAATATTTACGGATAAGGAAACAATCAAAATGGACCTTTCTCATAATTATGATGAAAAGTGAAAAAGAGTTTAGCACAAGGTAATAAGATAAAAACTATAACTGCCCAAATTCACCACCACCAACATAATTCTTAAAACTGAAATATCTAACAAAGCTGTATAAGAGAAATATTTAAATCTGCTTACAGAGAAAACTACAAAATTTTAATAGAAGACACATTGTAGATGAGCAAACTAAGCAATGGGAAAAAAATAGAGGCTGTGTAAGAATGACAGCACTGCAGATGACTGGAAGAAGGAAAAATCACTCCATAAATTCTGCTGGGAAAGTTGGTTCTCCTAATGGAGAATAGAAAGAAGTGGAGTTCTTGAGTCATAGCATACAAAAAAAGCAAAAAAATCAATACCAGATGGATTAAAATTTTTATGTGTGAAAAGAAAACCTTAAAACTTTTAAAACAACCTATGAGAGACTATTTTTATGACAATGGCATAGGAAATAATTTCTTAAACAAGATATAAAAAGCACTAACTACAAGAGAAACAAATGATAAATTTAGTTACATTAAAATTAATAACTTTTGTTCAAAGGACACTATGAAGGGAATAGAAGGACACACCATAAATGAGATTTTACACATTTTATGAACACACTTCAACATGTACCTGAAAAAAATACTAAGTGTGTAAAGATTACCTGTGAGAAAAACATAAACAACCCAAGAAAGAAAAAAAGGCAAAAGACATCAAGAGGAATTTCAGAAAGAGCCAACAAGAATGATGACTAGACATAAACATTCTTAGTAACCAGGGAAATGCAAATTAAGAGATATTACTTTGTATTTATTAGATGGACAAAACTTAAGAAATCTGACAATAATGTCATATGCAGCTGAAAGGAAAATAAGGTTTTACAATTAGTCTGAAAAATACTTCAGTAATAAAGTGAAAAATTAAATTAACAGACTGATGGTCAGAAGTATACCACTCTTGTGAATGTAACCTGGAGAAATTTATACTCATATGCATCAGAAGGCTATATAAAAAAGAAAAAAAAAAGGCACAGGAGTACTGTTTAAAACAAGAAAGAAATGGAAATATACCATGTTTCCATTAAGAACATGAGATATACTTCACACAAGATATAATACAGAGTAATGAATGAATGAACTACAGCTAGATTCAACATCAAGGGTTACTCTAAGAAACAAATCCATAATGATGATAGCAAGTCACCCAAGAATATATCAATATATGGTATAAAATAATTCATAAACCTTAGGAACAAGCAAAACTAAATAAGTACACTGTTTTGAGATAAACATATGGTAAAATGGTGTTTTGTGGTTAGCTGGTGCAGGAGAAAAACAGAAGAAATGTTTGAAGAGTAACACCACTAGATGCTAACAGTTCAAGGGTATTGAAAAGAGAATAACTGAGATGTGAGCCTGGCATTAAAATTGCTTTTCTGATATATAAATGATAGCTGATTCTGAAAATGAAAGAGGTTTAAAGGTTGAGCGATGTTTTGCATCACTGTCACAGAGCTAGAAGGAAAAAAAAAAGGAATTCTGAGTCCAATAAAAAGTAGAGTCTTTGACTGTGTGGATCACAATAAACTGTGGAAAATTCTGAAAAAGATGGGAATATCAGACCACCTGACCTGCCTCTTGAGAAACCTGTATGCAGGTCAGGAAGCAACAGTTAGAACTGGACATGGAACAACAGACTGGTTCCAAATAGGAAAAGGAGTACGTCAAGGCTGTATACTGTCACCCTGCTTATTTAACTTATATGCAGAGTACATCATGAGAAATGCTGGGCTGGAAGAAGCACAAGCTGGAATCAAGATTGCCGGGAGAAATATCAATCACCTCAGATATGCAGATGACACCACCCTTATGGCAGAAAAGTGAAGAACTAAAGAGCTTCTTGATGGAAGTGAAAGAGGAGAGTGAAAAAGTTGGCTTAAAGCTCAGCATTCAGAAAACTAAGATCATGGCATCTAGTCCCATCACTTCATGGCAAATAGATGAGGAAACAGTGGAAACTGTGGCTGACTTTATTTTTCTGGGCTCCAAAATCACTGCAGATGGTGATTGCAGCCATGAAATTAAAAGACGCTTACTCCTTGGAAGGAAAGTTATGACCAACCTAGACAGCATATTAAAAAACAGAGACATTACTTTGTCAACAAGGGTCCATCTAGTCAAAGCTATGGTTCTTCCAGTGGTCATGTATGGATGTGAGAGTTGGACTATAAAGAAAGCTGAGCGCCAAAGAATTGGTGCTTTTGAACTGTGGTGTTGGAGAAGACTCTTGAGAGTCTCTTGGACGGCAAGGAGATCCAACCAGTCCATCCTAAAGGAGATAAGTCCTGGGTGTTCACTGGTAGGACTGATGTTGAAGCTGAAACTCCAATACTTTGGCCACCTGATGCAAAGAACTGACTCATTTGAAAAGACCCTGATGCTGGGAAAGGTTGGGGGCAGGAGGAGAAGGGGATGACAGAGGATGAGATGGCATCACCGACTCAATGGACATGGGTTTGGGTAGACTCTGGGAGTTGGTGATGGACAGGGAGGCCTGGTGTGCTGTGGTTCATGGGGTCACAAAGAGTCGGACACAAGGGAGTGACTGAACTGACTGACTGACTTGTTAAGCAACCTAGACTTTTGGGTGGATCCCAAATAAAAACACCCTAAACATAAAAGTGATCAGAAAAACAATCAGCCCGTCAAAAACTGAAGCCCAGCTTCCAATCACTGCATTCTTGTTGAGTGAAAATTATTTCAGAGCAGCTCAACTGCCTATCAAAAGCAAAAATGAATATTCTTTGGAAGAATTATAAAATCATCCAGAGCTTCAAATGATCTCTATAACTTTTCATACAAAAAGCATGCAGCTCAATCAACAATAACGTGTGCAAGGTAAGACCCAACCAGCACTCAAGTGAAAACCAGACAAAGAAAAAGAGCCACTGGAGATACAGATATTGAGACTAACTCACATAAATTTAAACATAATTAGAGGTGCTGAAAGATTAAATGGTAAGAAAAAGAATTCTGGCAGTGAACTAAAAATTTTATTTAAAAACCCTAAGGAAATTACAGGAAAAAACTGTATAAACAGTGCAATTAAGAATTCAATTTTATGGGTGTAACATGAGACTCAACAAATCTGAAGAGAGGATGAGTAAATTCAAAGATGGGTCAGAAGAAAGCAAAGATGAAGCATGAGCGGGCAGAAACAGGTATACCTCAGAGACACTGCATGTATGGTTCCAACCAACCACAATAAGGCAAGTGTTGCAATAAAGCAAGTTACAAAACGTCTTGGTTTTCCAGTGTACGAAAAGATATGTTTACACAATAATTTGGTCTATTAAGTGTGCAATAGCATCATGTCTAGAAAAACAATGAAGAAACCTTAATACAAAAATATAAATGAAAAAGCTATAATAACTGCTATAATAACTATTAATAGTAATGACTATTCAGGTCTTTCGCCCATTTAAAGAAAACTAGGCTGTTTGTCTTGTTGAGTTTTAAGTCTCTTATCAGATATATATGATTTTCAAATATTTTCTCCCATTCTGCCAGTTCATTTTTCACTTTTTTTCAAATTAATAATTCTCTTTCTTAAAAAGGATATAATTGGCATATGACATATCAGTTCTAGAGGTACAATGATTCAATATTTACATATATTATGAAATGATTACCACAATAAGTCTAGTTATCACCATCACAACACAGCTACAATTTTTTTCCTATGATGAGACATTTTCAGACCTACTCTCAGCAGAAACTGTCAGATATATTAGGCAGTATTAATAACAATAGTCACCATGCTGTACATTACATTCCTTGACTTATTTTACAACTGTACCTTTAGAATTCCTTTTCCCAATTCACACATCCTTCATTCCTAGCCTCTGACAACTACCACCAGATCTCTGTACCTATGAGTTTGAGTTTTTGTTGCTGTTACTTGGGGTTTTTTAGATTTGATACTGCATGTAAGGAACATCACACAGTATTCATCTTTGTCTATTTAACTCAGCATAATGCCCTCAAGGTTCATCCATGCTGTCACAAATGCGAGGACTTTTTGCTTTTTTTAATGACTGATCAATGTTACATTGTATATATACACCACTTTTCCTCTATCCATTCATCCATTAGATGGACACTTGGGTTGCTTCCATGTCTTGATTGCTATAAATAATGCTGCATTGAGCACAGGGGTGCAGAGATCTTTTTGAATTAGTGTTCGTATTTCCTTCAGATAAATACTCTGAAGTATTTATTACTGGATCATGTGATGCTTCAATTTACTTTTTTGTTTCCTATTTTTAATTTTTTGGAAGATCCTCCATACTGTTTTTCATTTTACATTCACACCAACAGTGCAAAAGTGTTCCTTCTCTTCACATCTTCACCAACACTTATTATCTGTCTATTTTATATTAATCATTCTAAGAGAAGTGAAGTCCTATCTTTCTGGGGTTTTGATTTGCATTTCTCTGGTGATTACTGATGTTGAGCACTTTTCATACAATTATTGATGACTTGTTTGTGTTCTTTAGAAAAATGTTGCCTCTACCTATTTTTTAATCAAACTCTGTTTCTACTATTGAGCTATATGTGTATTTACACAATATGGACATATTAGATATATGATTTGCAAATATTTTCTCTCATTTTCTCAGTTTTTGTCTGAAAATGTGTTTATGTTGAGTTCCCTTTTTAAAGGCTATTTTCTCCAGGTTTAGAATTCTAGATTGGTACTTTGCTTCCAATCAATAATTTGAAGATATTATTCCATTATCTTCCATCTTCTAATCTCTTCTCTTGAAGTCATGTGACAGTCTTGTTCCCTGGAAGGTTTTCTGTTTGCATGAATGCTTTTAATCCTTTCTATTTTGATTGGTTCTAGGTTTACTATGACGTATCTAGTGAGCTTTGTGTTACACTGATCCTGCTTGGGGTTTGCATCTCTTCTTGAATGCATAGCTTTGATGTCTTTCATAAATTTTGAAAAATTTTCTGGCATTATCACTTCAAATACTATTTCTGTTTCATATTCTCTTTCCTATCTTACTGTAGTTCTAATTACACACTCTAAATATACAAATTTTATTTTTACTGTAATCCAACTGTCTGACATACGTTTTGTATACACACAAAAATTGTCTCAATAGGCTTCACAAATACTGCATTTTCTACAAATTGAAGGTTCGTGTCAAGTATCTATCAGTGCTATTTTTCCAACAGCATTTGCTCACTTCATATCTCTGTCACATTTTCATAATTCTTGCAGTATTCCAAATGATTTCACCATTATTATATTTGTTATGGTCATAAGTGACTAGAGATCTTTAATGGTACTCTTGTAACTGTTTTGAAGTGCCATGAATCACACCCATTAACACAATGAACTTAATCAGTAAACGTGTGTGTTCTGACTGCTCTACATACAGACTGGCCTTTTCCCCATCTCTCGCCCTCTCCTCAGGCAACCCTATTCCCTAAGATACAACAACATAGAAATTGGGAAAATTAGCAAACCTATCATGGATTGTACATGTTCAAGTGAAAGGAAGCACTGCACATCTCTCAACTTCATATCAAAAGCTAGAAATGATATAGCTTAGTGATGAAGGCATGTCAAAAGCTACTACTGGCTGAAAACTAAACCTCTTGGGCCAAGTTGTGAATGTGAAGGATAAGTTCTTGAAGGAAATTAAAAGTGCTACTCCAGTGCTACTCCACATTTTACTCCAGTGAAAATGTGAATGACAAGAAAGCAAAACACACTTATTGCTGATATGGAGAAAGTTTAATGGACTGGAGGGGAGATCAAACCAGCCCAACATTCCCTTAAGCCAAAGACTGATCCAGAGCAAGGCTGTAACTCTCTTCAATTCCATGAAGACAGAGAGAGCTAAGGATGCTCCAGAAGGAAAATCTGAGGCTAGCAGAGCTTGGTTCATAATACTTTAGAAGCCATCCCCAGATAGAGAAGTACAAGGCGGAGCAGCAAGTACTGGTGCAGAAGTTGCCGCAAGTTATCCAGAACATCTAGCTTAGATCATTAATTAAGGTGGCTATGTGAAACAGATTTTCAACACAGAAAACAAGCTTCTATTGGAAGAAGATGCATTCCAGAACTTTCACGGCCAGAGAGAAGTCAATGCATCATAGAACAGGCCTACTCTTGTTAGGGGCTAACGCAGCTGGTAACTTTAATCTGAAACCGCGCTCATTTAACATTCTGAAAATCCTAGTTTTACAGTATTCTTTTCTACACATATGTATATCTAAAAATACACAAACACATGCATAAAACTCCACATGACTGTAGGGGTCAATTCTCCAAGACACCCAAACATACCCTGCCCCAAATAGTCACACAATGGAGACAGAAAATCACTACTTTTTTTCCCAGTGTTTTCCCTCAAGGATCTTTTAACTCTCTATTGTATGTATGAAATGCAACAACTACTATCATGACAAGCATACTGCAAACTAACCTGTCAATCTTCATGTTTTTTAAAAAATAGATGTCATTAAAAAACTTACATCCCTATAAAGTTGAAATAGACAGAATCCAGTGATATCTTGTATTTATCAAGGAAAGCATTCCAGGTCATAGCCCTGTGCTCAACTAAAGAGATGTTTCAATGTTGTTTCACTTATAATGAAGATGCAGCATGGTAAAAAGATAGGAAAAGCTAAAAACAAATCAACCAAACTGAAGTGCAATTTACATCATTCCACTTCTCTCCTTGTTGCATAAAATTTTAGAAGATAGCATTATGAAGAATACACATCTAGAAAACATAAATTACCCGATCATTCATCAGAAGATCCTTCACAATGAAAGTAGCTACCAAAGACTTCAAAGGAGCAGCAAACTGATCTGGTGCAAGGAGAGCAATGTGACCAATAGTCACCAGTGGTGTGATGAGATGCTCCAGGTTGCTCGGATCTAGGCTCTTATGCAGAGGCTGAAAGTGAGGAAAGGAAAATGATTAACTCCATAAACATGCAAATAAACTGTTCACATGTCTCATCTACAAATGCTAAAAACCACACAAGTTCCAATACATGGTATAAGCAGTGGTTCAAGTTACATTTAACTTTTACTGACAACTTTTATGACTAGAAGGCATCATATCTAAGTATTTTCAGTTTTTCCCAAGTTACATTTTAGAAGTAGGTAAAGAAACATTTCAATATGAAGAATCATGTATCATACATTTTATGATTGCATATATAAATATGTCAGCAACTGCTGAAAAGTTGCTCAGTCTTGTACAACTCTTTTTGACTGCATGGACTGTAGCCCATGAGGTTCCTCTGTCCATGGAATTCTCCAGGCAAGAAACTGGAGTGGGTAGCCATTTCGGTTCACCAATACCTACTTCTATTCTGCTTTCTGGGCATAAGGATGCTTCTATGTGCAGTCAGAAGTTCTGGTTACCAGAATGGGGATGAAAGTAAGGTATGCTATGCCTGAACTGAGGCAGACATAAACAATGTATCTTCTCCACATTCTCTCTCTCTTTACTCACTGGTGGCTTAATACAAAGGATCCAAGGGACTCGAAGAGAAAAAGCAAAAGTGAAAGAAAGTGAAATTGCTCAGCCGTGTCTGACTCTGCGACCCCGCAGACTGTAGCCCACCAGACTCCTCTGTCCATGGAATTTTCCAGGCAAGAGTACTGGAGTGGATTGCCATTTCCTTCTCCAGGGGATCTTCCTAACCCAGGGATCGAACCCAGGTCTCCCTCATTGCAGGCAGATGCTTTACTGTCTTGAGCCACCAGGAAAGAGAAGCCAATAGTCAAAAAAGGTCTGCATGGCTAAAACACTGATTAGAATGCAATCAAAACACTCAAATGGACTTTTATTATGAGCAAGAAATAAGCTTTCATTATGGATAGTTACAAGCCTTTTTGTGGATTTTTATAGCATCAGATATTAAGTACCATAACTAATAAAACTATTTTATTACTCTTATAGTAAAATAAAGATATTATTTTAATATTCATTTTGCTATAACAAAAGGAGACTGCTTATTTACTCACATAGTTGATACCTAAAATATATTGTTCAATTTTTAAAATAAGATAATCAGAAGAATGGCTATAGCACATTATCATTGGCATAAGGAGAAGAGGAAGGGGACAAAAGATGTGTCTTGTGTATTTATATTACTTGTATAAGAATAAAGTATCTCCTGAAAAGTACACTAGAAACTGGTAACACTGGCTGCCTATGAGAAAAGACACTGGGTGGCTGGGGAAATGGGGTTGAGATAAAGGTGTAGGTATCCTCCTATACTGAACACCATTCTAGGCTTGAAAAACAACACAAAACTGTTCTTTTCCAACACATTGGGGCAATATGAAAAGCTTCAGTTAGTCAAAAGTAATGACAGTACTTCTTGTTGTTCTCGGTGACTTCCCTCAATACCTCCACTGCACATCTAAGTGATAACTTGTTTACACTAGAAACAGATAACTTGATAGTGTACTTTTTTCCAATTCATTTATTATCTTGTGTGACAATTTTCCACAATAAGATATTAAAATCATTTCTGAAAAACCAAAATTAATGATCAGTCCCTGGATTAACCAGAGAAGGCAATGGCAACCCTCTCCAGTGCTCTTGCCTGGAAAATCCCATGGACAGAGGAGCCTGGTAGGCTGCAGTCTACTGGGTCGTGAAGAGTCGACAGGACTGAGCAAATTCACTTTCACGAATTGGAGAAGGAAATGGCAACCCACTCCAGTGTTCTTGCCTGGAGAATCCCAGGATGGGCGAGCCTGGTGGGCTGCCGTCTATGGAGTAGCACAGAGTTGGACACAACTGAAGCGACTTAGCAGCAGCAGCAGCTCTGGATTAACGTAATCTGATAAAGGTTAGAGGTGTCTATGAAACCTTTTCTCAGAAAACCAGCCAATCTTCTATGTTATAGGAGAAGGATTACCAGGTAGGTTCTTGTAAAGATGAAGTTACAGATATTAAAATTAAAAGTAGCCAAGAAAGTCAAGCTATTATCAGCATTTTCCTCCTCATCATCATTGGAGAGAACAAAAGATTATTCAAGGAAAAAAAAAGCTTTCTAGAAATCAACATGAGTCCACTGAAGTCATCCTCTTATTAAAAAATTTTTAAAAATAGAAAATAACTCCACCTCAACTTTTAAATTATATTATGATTGAGTATCTATAGCAAAGATGCTGTTTAATAGATACTGAAAACGTTTCTTCCTCCTTTACCCTGCCTTTAATATAAATCATGAAAATATGACAAAATTAGCATAAATACTTCTAAAATAGACAGCAAGTCTGTGTATTTATGATGGGTTAGTTTCAGCATAACTTCCAAATTGTTTTGACTTCATTCAAGGCTCCTAGACTATAACTACAAGATTTTTTTATAAATTTTCTGTTTAGCTCCTATTTGCAGTAAGAAGGCTAAAGCCAGACCCTGATTCTAATAGCTTAGAGTAAAATTCCCATACTTAGAAAGGGTACTGGTAATTCAAAGTAGAGAAAAAATAAAATACATGCTGAAAAGACAGTCAGTAGGTATTTGGTCCTGTCCCAATATACCCAATAAGACATTTGGGTCCACACACAAAAGTCCTTGATATTTGGTCCTGTCCAAAACCATCTGCCATGTACCTAAATTGCCGTGGGTGTTTTGGAGAGCACCAACTATCAAGGATCTTTGGGTGTGGATCACATGCCCTGCAAAGGAAAAGGCACATTTTAATCTAATATGAAATTAGGTCAGTCATTAAAGTACAAATTTATTTAACCCTAATTATAAATTAGTATTCACATATAATTATAATTAGTATTCACACACTTCAGTAGTATTTCATGTATAGAAATCTAACTTCCAAAATCTATAAACTGATAGAACAGTCACCTATTACCTACTATGAGTAACTACGATTTTATATGTAATTATTTACTAATGAAAAAAGTTTCCTAATACTAAGTGTATAAAGTAACATCAAAACTATTGTACAACTGCTTGATTTCTGAATGAGCTAGCATTAAAAAAATGAATCATCAGATATTTTCAAATTTTAACCAATCATTAATATTGATTGATTATACTAATTCAAATTTGGAAAATTACAAAATGATACATCTCCAAACATGAACATTCCATAAACTCATTCATATTTTTTTTAACAATAACATGAAACAAAAAAATTTTTTCTTTTTACCTCAAATATCTGTGCAAACTGGGTTTCTTTACTAGAAAATATTGCATGGATACAATGAATAGCGTATTTGGCTTGACGGGGGGGTCCTTTTTTAGATTTGTGATGTAAAACAGGAAGCAAAGCTCTAAAAAAAAAAATTACAGAAAAACAATAAACCAGAAAAATCATTATGATTTCCACTAGATACTTTAATGCCTGTATTTCTGAAGGAATGTTTTGTAAGAAACAAAAGAAACAAAGATCACAGCATCTACTCCCTCATTTTCAATCATCTATAATTTTGCTTTATAAACATCCATATAAAAATAATACAAACACAAAGAATATTTCCTTTTATTAGTTATAAATACAAACAAGAAAAAAATACAAATAAGAATGGTAACCCATTTCTTCTTTTTAATGTCATTTCCATTAGCCTCTTCTATTTTATTATCATTGTTAGCACTTTAGCTAAGCTTTTGATGTAAGACCACCATAATGGGACATAAATTGCTCCTTCTTTCTCAAGTCTCTTCCTCTTCCAATTCATCTTTTAATCTATCCCCAAACAATCTACATGAGGGGAAATTTGATCATTTAATCAATACAAATTGAGTACTTGCCATAATGCCAGGAACTATTTAAAGTCCCAAATTGGTGCCTTCATTCTACCAGCATATTAGAGATAAGACAAATGATAACACATTAAGTTAGCAAAACATCTGTTATGTTAAATTGTGGTAACTCCTATGGGGGGGGGGGGGGAACAGGACAGCAATAGAGGACAGGCCTAAGTTTTTGACAGCGTTACAATTTTACAAAGGGTGCCTACATAAGATCACTCTAGTAAAGCAAAACTTAACCACAGTTCTCAAAGTGGCAGTGTCATCTAGCTACCTGGAAGAACATTCATGTATCATATCACTTCATTATATAATAACTTAAGTCCTGAATAAGACAGGATCTCTTAGTTCAACTATTATGCATTTATTTCACAGTGGAAGTAACTTCTGAATTCTTCTCCTTGCCCAACTCAGTGCTCCAGTTTAAAAAACAATTAGATATAAATAATTCATTATAATAATAGCAGTCACAGAAAAGATAACCGTAAAATATGATAAAAAAAACAAGTGACCAATTGAAAGGAAATTTTGTATTTCTTGTTACAGAGAAATGGTAAATATCCCTAAAGTGTAAACACCTACAAACAGATAATGAAAATCACAGAAAAATGGGTTGGACATAATAGTAGAAAGCTCTTCAAAACCACTAAAAGTTCTTCAGTACCATCAAACCAGTTTTACAACAAATGTTAAAGGGACTTATATAGTCAAGAAATACAAGAGAAGAAAACAGATCTACAAAACCAACCCCTAACAATTAAGAAAATGGCAATAAGAACATATGTATCAATAATTACTTTAAATGTAAATGGATTAAATGCTCCAACCAAAAGACACAGACTGGCTGAATGGATATAAAAATATGACCCATATATATGCTGTCTACAAGAAACCCACTTTAGACCTCAAGACACACACAGACTTAAAGTTAGAGGATGGAAAAATATACTCCATGCAAATGGGAAGCAAAAGAAAGCTGGAGTAGCAATCCTCATATCAGACAAAATAGACCTTAAAATAAAGAATTTTACAAGAGATAAGGAAGGACACTACATAATGATCAACGGATCAAGCCAAGAGAAAGACATAACAATTGGAAATATCTATGCACCTGACATAGGAGCACCTCAATACATAAGACAAACACTAACAGACATAAAAGGAGAAATTGACAGTATCACAAAAATAGCTGGAGACTTTAACACCCCACTCACACCAACGGACAGATCAAGACAGAAAACTAATAAGGAAACACAAGTCTTAAATGATACATTAGATGAGATAGATCTCATTGATATCTTCAGGACATTTCATTCAAATGCAGAAGAATATACCTTCTTCTCAAGTGCACATGGAACATTCTCCAGGACAGACCACATCTTGGGTCACAAATCAAAACTCAGTAAATTTAAGAAAACTGAAATCGTATCAAGCATCTTCTCTGATCACAACACTATGAGACTAGGTATCAGTTACAAGGAAAAAAAATGTAAGAAACATGAACACATGGAGATTAAACAACACGTTTCTAAATAACCAACAGGTTATTGAAGAAATCAAAAGGGAAATGAAGAAACTTCTAGAAACAAACAACAATGAAAACATGACAATACAAAACCTATGGGATGCTTCAAAAGCAATTCTAAAGGGAAGTTTATAGCAATATAATTCTATCTCAAGAAACAAGAAAAACATCCAATACACAACCTAACTTTACACCTAAAACAACTGGGAAAAAAAGAACCAAACCCCCCCCCCCCCCAAAATTAGTAGAAGGAAAGAAATCATAAAGATCAGAGCAGAAATAAATGAAAAAGAAATGAAAGAAACAATATTACAGATTAATAACACTGAAAGTTGGTTTCTGAGAAGATAAACAAAATTGACAAACCTTTCACCAGCCTCAAGAAAAAAGAGAAGAATCAAATCAACAAAATTAGAAATGAAAAATGAGCGTTTACAAGAAACGATGCAGAAAAACAAAGGATGATAAGAGACTATTATGAACAACTATATGGCACTAAAATGTATAAACTGAAAGAAACAGATTCTTAGAAAACTTCAATCGTCCAATACTGAACCAGGAAAAAATCAAAATTATGAACAACTCAATCACAAGCACTGAAATTGAAGCTGTGATCAAAAATCTCCCCAAAATCAAAAGCCCAAAACCAGATGGCTTCACAGGAGAATTCTATGAAATATTTAGAGAAGAGCTAATACCTTGCCTTCTATACCTCTTTCAAAAAATTTAGAGGAAGGAACACTTTCAAACTCATTCTACAAGGCCACCCTGATACCAAAACCAGACAAAGACAACACACACAAAAAAATCTACAGGCCAATATCACTGATGAACTTACATGCAAAAATCTTCAACAAAATTTTAGCAAACAGAATTCAGCAACACATCAAAAAGCTCATACACCATGATCAAGTTGGGTTTATGCCAGGAATGCAAGGATTCTTCAATATATGCAAATCAATCAATGTGATACACCACATTAACAAATTAAAATATAAAAACCATATGATAATCTCAATAGATGCAGAAAAAGCCTTTGACAAAATTCAGCACCCATTTATGATTAAAACTCTTAAAAAAAAAATGGGCATAGAAGGAACCTACCTCAACATAGTAAAGGCCATATATGATAAGCATACAGCAAACATTATTCTCAATGGTGAAAAACTGAAAGCATTCCCCCTAACATCAGGAACAAGACAAGGGTGTCCGTTTCCACTTTCACCACTATTATTCAACATAGTTCTGGAAGTCCTTGCTACAGCAATAAGGGAAGAAAAGGAAATAAAAGGAATCCACATTGGAAAAGATGTAAAGCTCTCACTGTTTGCAAATGACATAATACCATACAAAGAAAACCCTAAAGACAATATTAGAAAATTACTAGAGCTAATCAGTGAATTTAGCAAAGTGGCAGTATACAAAATTAATACACAGAAATCACTTGCATTTCTACATTACTAACAATGAAAAATCAGAAAGAGAATTTAAGGAATCAATCCCATTCACCATTGCAACAAAAAGAATTAAATATCTAGGAATAAACTACCTAAGGGGACAAAAGAACTATACACAGAAAATTATAAGACACTAGTGAAAGAAATCAAAGACGACATAAACAGATGGAGAGATATCCCATGCTTCTGAGTAGGAAGAATCAATATTGTGAAAATGACTGTACTACCAAATGCAATCTACAGATTCAATGTGATCACTATCAAATTACCGATGGCAGTTTTCACAGAACTGGAACAAAAAATTCCACAATTCATATGGAAACACAAAAGACCCAAACAGTCAAAGAAGTCTTGAGAAAGAAGAATAGAGCTGAAGGAATCAACTTTCCTGACTTCAGATTATACTACAAAGCTACAGTCATCAAGACAGTATGGTACTGGCACAAAAACAGAAATATAGACTAATGGAACAAGACAGAAAGCCCAGAAATAAACCCATGCACCTATGGATACCTTATTTTTGACAAAGGAGGCAAGAATATACAATGGGGCAAAGACAGTCTTTTCAATAAATGGTGCTGGGGAAACTGGACAGCAACAAGTAAAAGAATGAAGTTAGAACACTTCCTAACACCATACACAAAGATAAACTCAAAATGGATGAAAGACCTAAATGTAAGACCGGAAACTATAAAACTCTTAGAGAGAAAACATAGGCAGAACACTCGATGACATAAATCAAAGCAAGATCCTCTATGACCCACCTCCTAGAGTAAAGGAAATAAAAACAAAAGTAAGCAAGTGGGACCTAATTGAATTTAAAAGCTTTTGCACGGCAAAGGTAAATAAGCAGAGTGAAAAGATGAGCCTCAGAACAGGAGAAAATAATAGCAAATGAAACAACTGACAAAGGATTAATTTCCAAAATATACAAGCAGCTCATATAATTCTATGTCAGAAAAACAAACAACCCAATCAAAAAGTGTTCCCTAAGACCTAAACAGACATTTCTCCAAAGAAGACAGACAGATGGTTAATAAACACATAAAAAGATGCTCAACATCACTCATTATTAGAGAAATGCAAATCAAAACCACAATGATATATCACCTCACACCGGTCAGAATGGCCATCATCCAAAAAAAAAAAAAACAAAATGCTGGATAGGATGTGGAGAAAAGGGAAAATTCTTGCACTGTTGGTGGGAATGTAAATTGATACAGTCACTGTGGAAGATGGTATGGAGAATGCTTAAAAAACTAGAAATAAAACCATCATATTACCCAGCAATCCCACTTCTAGGCATATTAGCCTGAGGAAATGAAAACTGCAAAAGACACATATATCCCATTGTTAAGTGCAGCACTAGTTACAATAGCTAGAACAGGGAAGCAACCTAGATGCCCACCAACAGATGAGTGGACAAAGAAGCTGTGGTACATATACACAATGGAACATTACTCAGCCATAAAAAGAAATGCAATTGAGTCAGTTCTGATGAAGTGGATGAACCTAAAGCCTATTACACAGAGTGAAGTGA